TTTTTTTTTTTTTTTTTTTTTTTTTCGTTCCATCGACAAAAAATTCGAGAACGCACGAGCCTTGGAGATCTCGCGTCCCACACGATATGCGCTTTCCCCCTCGTGGGAAACGCGATCGTCAAGGTTTGCGTAGCTTCGAACAGGGTACATCACGATGCTACGATATAATATATGTATATATATGTATACAACATACGCACGAATATATTATAAATAATTAATTAAAGGTTTGTTTTCAAAGTAAGTAAAAATATATAGATATATAATATATAATATGAACATATATATATACACATACATACATATATATATATATATATATGTTCATATATTTTTTTTCCATTTTCTTTCCTTCATTTTCCTTTTTTTTATCATACTTCCACGTTAATATATTTCTATCGCCAACGAATGTATTCCGTTTTTTCTTTCTTTTTCTTTTATTTATTTTTTTATTAATTTTTTTCTTTCTTTTCTTTTTTTTTTCTTTACTTTTAATTCATCGTTTATATTTCACGCACACGATCATGCATTTGCGTGCATGTATGCGATACACGTGTGTATTGTATGTTGTGTATATGTGTATATGTGTATGTTTGATAATGAATGTACGATGGTCGTGTATATGGTCATATTTTGCTTGTGTGTAATTTGCTCCTGCTGAAAAAGGACGACGAGATCGAGTCGCGAGAAATCAGATGGATCATCGCGTTAGAAAAAAAAAGAAGCGGAACTGTGTTCTCTCAAACTTGAGAACCATCTAGAAAAAGGAGTGATAATGATCATGAGTTTCGAAAATCTCTATGCGTATTTATTTCTATTTCAAGATTTCAACGCTGATCCCGAACTCGTCGCCGTTACAATTGATTATAACGTAAAACTTTCGTCACCGAATCGCGCGCCTCCGATTGCTCCGATCTCATTAATTATATTCGCAAAATATCGTTGTCCTCTTTACCATTTTTAAACATTTTCAATCTGAAAATGTAATTGCATGCGTTTATTTTAATCGTCGATTCTAACGTAGCTCTCTTTCTTCTTCCCATTAATAATAATATTTTTCCTCGAATCCTCTCCTTTTTTATTTATTTATTTATTTATTTATTTATTTATATCTTCTTTTCGTGCAAAATGGCAATCATGAAAAGCAACGTTAAAATCGAAAAAAAAGCACGTTCAATGAAATAGATTAAAATCTGCGAAGAGAACAATCGATTTTCGGAAACACACATTTAAATAACTTGGATCGATCGAAACATCCGGGGAGCAAGAATCTAATGATCCGGTGACAAACACGATTGAACAACAATCGAACACTGCACCTGCACGCGATTGGACACCATGGAATCTATATATAAGCCTATCAGCGCCAGGGCACTTAATTTCTTTTTTTTTCTTTCTTTCTTTCGTATAAAAAACCTAAACTACCTAAATCTATTGTAATTCGAAGCTTTTTTTTTTTAGGATGAGCAACGAGCCTTTCTTTTCTTTTCCGTAATCTTTTTCCCTTTCTAGTCATCCTTTTAATCTTTGCTCACAGTTCTTGCCTGTCCTCGAAATTCGTCATCCTATACTGCGCAAACAAACGGAAGAAAAATAAAAGAAAATTAAAAACTCGTCGCCCCGCTTTCGACTCTTTCAAACTCCAATTTGTTTCTCGCTCGATTTATTTGCACGATTTAATTTCTTTTGACTATACGATGGATCACGAGGATCATGGGAAAGAACGGGAACGGGACGAATCGTCGTTTCGACTCGAGTGACCGCTACAAGTCGAAGAATCTGTGTACGCGCGAATCGTCCTCGATACACTTTTACGATTACCAGACCGCAATGTAATACGTAAAATTTCTCGAGTATCGATTCAATCGCGACCGATTCTTTCCGCGATTCTTCTCGTTACCGTCCCAACCGACGAGATCCTCGCTGCCACCTTTGAGATCATTCAAAGAATACGCGATAAGCTTTGACGTCTTTGAAAGCGAGAAGAGATCGATCCTATTTAACGTCACTTGCGAGAACGTCACGTTACGCGTGCACAGATTTTATCCATATTCGATGAGACGAGAATACAGATAAAATCAAAATTTTATCGACGTTTCGCAACACGTTTTCGGGGACACGGAAATACTTCGAGTTGAAAGAGAAAGAAGCGCGACGAGATACGTAAAACTTCGACGCTGTGTATCGAAAAAAAGTGATTGATGAATCGAACGTAATTAAAAAGAAAAAAAAAAAAAAAAAAAAAAAATCACGATTAATAAAATCACGAATAGCTTTTGCACGTACAATGTCCGCGATGTATTATAATTATACTATATCCGTCGAAATCGACGCGTGTATTGAATCAACGATTACACGCTTCGTAAATCTTAAAGGAAAAGAACGGTAAGTGATAATAGAAGAAGAAAAGCAAATTGTAAAAAGCGAATGGAAAATAATAGACAAGATAATATTATATATATATCTCCTTTCTCGGCAATCCGAAATCACAGACAATATATGTTTAACTTCTCGAAAAGTGATCTCGCTCTCCCCCTCTCGCTCTCCCTCTCTGTCACTCGTACTCTCACACTCTCTCTCTTAGTACTCACACCTGTATTAGCCTTAGACACGCGTAGTAATAGCCTACACAGATCTGGCACAGCACTTGAAATCTACGTAACGTACATATAAAAAAGCTCCCGCGCATCCGTGTAAATTTTTTTATCTTTCGTTGTAATGAAATTCGAAAGTAACGCGGCGGGCACGTTTAAATCGAAAAATCGAAAGGAAGTTATATTATTATCTCGATCGAGATATCCGAGCCTCTTATTGTTGACTTGTTCAACAGCTGATAGATGCTATTTTTAATATTGTTGTAAATCACTACAAAAAACGTTCCGTAAGCATCCGAAAGGCTCGATTACGTTATGTTGCGATGCGTCTAATAATATATCCTAGTATCACTGTTGAAGATCTTACACCTTGTCGATCACATTCGCGACGTAAACGACGACCGCGTATATCGTGCGTTACAAAAACGGAGGTTCGGGAAATATTCACAGAAAAAAAAAAAAAAAAAAAAATATATCGAAGGAATCAGAAGTACAGCGGTCTAAGAAACGTATGTTGTTCGCATCCGCTTGTTCCGGAATGAACGGATGCATCCATCCAATCTTAGTCATTAGTATCAAATTTTTTTTCCTTTTTTTTTTTTTCTTTTTCTTTTTTTAATGAAATGCAACTACCCTGATTACCAATCGAAAGTTGCGAGTAGTTTGAGCTTAGTCAGACTTATGTTTTCTGTCCTGCTCTATTATTCATTTCTTCCATCAATTTGCCTATAAGACTAGATATATGCCTCTGTTACTCTGACGTATTCGATCGAATAAGTGCATCTCGAAAAAATGTAACGGGACACGTTCCGACATCCAAATATGCGTATTTCTTCCTAATCTCGATAAAATAAATGGACAGCGAAAAAACTATTTCCACTCTCGGTTAATTTTTGCGTTGATTGTCGACAAGATCTGTCAAAACCAGTTGACCTCGAGAAAATTGTAAAATCTTGCGCGTAAAATGTGTCATTGATCCTGTCGGTCAAAACAATTACTGCGATTACGCCACGGTAACATACGTATATAATTACCTTATATACTACAGCTTCCGAGGATTACTATCGCTATCAAATGTTTCGCACTTCATTATCAATACCACTGTACTTCGTTTAAGGAAGCATTTTACTTCCAGCCTATAAAAATGGAACGATCAATTGTCGCGTGTTAAGTTTCTCCTTAATACCATCATATCGATTAAATGAATATAAATTTTGCATTCTTCGAAAAAATTATTTGTCGTCATCGCATTCACTTTCGATTTCAAATCTTGGTAATATATACCAAGTAAAACTTGCGTGCACACGTATATATCCTAATATCTTTGTAACCATAATTGTAATTGATCGGCACACGATCGGGTATTACGTGTGCGTCATATAATGTTGATTTTCGAGAGGACGTGTTAACTGTAATTGGTTTTGTGTGTGCATCTTCATTTGTAACTTTGATAACGCCGCAGGCGAGGCAAAAGCCGGATAAGCTAGAGTCGTATTAAGACTCTCATTGTGTTCTTCCAGAGAATTCTGAGCGTAATGCAGCACCAAGTGTTTTAAACTCTTGTGAATGTTGTACGGTTCAGCGAATCCAAAACCACGTTCGGTACCGTATATTATGCAATGATTCACTGTACCGTTACACCTGCAACATTAGCGAGGAATTATTTTTCTATATATATAGAAAATCATAAATGGGAAAGAGAAGAAAGAGAAGAGAAGAGAGAGAGAGAGAGAGAGAGAGAGAGAGAATGACAAACAACATGCGTACATGATGGAAAGTGCGTATTGTCCAGTTCTTGATGTTCGAATGAGAAAAGTACCATCCGGTCTATCGGCAAGAATACGATCAGCATCGGAACGAGAACATTCCAGGTAAAGCCATGTCTTTTCATCGGAATGAACCTCAAGATCTATCTCTTGAAGTTCCCCATACGCCAGATGACCCAACAAAGGATTCGATAACGAATGATTCAATACGAGTTGACTTATTTTATTTTGCTTCATACCATTTTTTTTCAGCCATCTGTAACACAATACCATAGAAACGTTAAATAAAAATTTCGAAAATTTCGTTATTTCAAGCAACAATAAAAATATTATAAAAATCAATCAACAATCAATACGCACATTAAATGCTTATCCCTTTGTCGTACAAGTTGCAAGAGTTCAGGTTTCAATTTGTGCATCTCTCTTTCCAAAGTTCTGTTGTAAGCGATTTGTTCCTTTAAGCTACCGTCCAATTGTTCTCTACTATCTTCTAAAGATTTCAGTCTTCGTTTCAATAATTCTGCGTTGTCGGTTAATCTGTGCACGTAAATAGAAAATTTTTATACAAACGAATTGAAACACGACGCCAAACGAAACGCCATTAATTGAAAACTCACGTTGATATTTCGTGCGGTTGAGCTTCTTTCTGATATTTCTCTTGCAATTTCATCTGATCTTCGAACATTTTGATAGCTTCCGAAAAAGCTTCTAACGCTTGTCGTTTCAACTGTACTTCGAAAGACGTCCTATTGTATAATTCCGAAAGATCTTTATATTCTTTTAACGCGTCGGTTATGTCTTTGTCAAGCTCGATGTATTTTTGGGCAACGTTCGCCATATCTGTTGTACTCGCAATTTCATCATCCTAATTTAAAATAAAATATCATAGGCAATGATAAAGTAGATCGAGCATCATCTTTAAGTTAAACCTTTAAATTTTTAGCAAAATTTTACCTGTTGAAACCGAGATACCGGATACAATAGCTTAATATCTAGGGTCGAATTATACTGCGCCAGAGAACAATTCCTATAATGATCCACCAGCTCGATAACCGAATGAAAGTTATACGGCTCCGAGAAGCCGTATTTTCCGTTCCGTTGACAAATCTTGATAAGCTTGTTGGTCCCACCTTTGCGCAATGTCAGCGTGTACTCCCCACCCTTAGAAGACGCATCACGTACCAAAAAAGTACCATCCGGCGAGTCGATCATCTTCTCGTTCACCTCGTCTCTAGTGATGTCTCCCCAATACCATTCAGCCTCCTGAAGCGTGCGTGGTCTTTTCGTCGAAAACACAGCGAATATAATGATCAGAAGCACGCCATTTGGATACAGGACAAAAACGAATGGTCGTTTACCTGTGGGGTTGCTGTTGCGACTCTTTGCTCTCTGAAACTGACACTGTTCGGTCCATAGAATTATCCTCGTCGAGAACGGAGAATGGATCTAAAACTGGAAACTGCGGCCTCGAAACTTTTCGCGGCGGTAACTGCGGTGGACTTGCAAATTGTGGTAGTCTCTCGTTCCAATCGCCATGTAACAGCAACACCTCCACTATTCGTATATGAGCTTCTATATTGTGAACAATTTGTCTGCAAAAAACGAATGATCGATCGTCGAAGAAAAATTGGAAGGAAGCGTGGCGGCGGAATGATTGCTTCGAGCTTGAGAGTGCTTACACGATCCTTTCCCAAGGTGGTCTGACGAAGATATGACACAGCACTTGTATAAGGATGGTAGGGGGTTCTATGTAACCCCTTCCGTGTTGTAATTGACAGATCCGACAAAAATGAGCCATCAAATGAAACAAGGTACTACGGTGATGTTCCGGAAGTTCCGAGACGAGCTGTCCCAAACGTGCCGCACACTGTTCATCGTTCTTCATATCTGTATCAAAAGCATAAGATATACAGGTTGCATTTTATAATAAAACTATATCGCTTTAATATTCGTTCATGTATACTCACTGGATGCTTCTATAAATCTATCGTAAAACTGTACAGGGATCACAGGATCTGGCAATTCTCGAAGAAACTTTTTCAAAACGCCCGCTACGCATTGTGCACTATACGAACTTAAATCAGCGTTACACACATCTGAAAAGTCAAGGATTGAACGTGACTATTCCGAAAATTGAATAATCGGCACGGATCTATCTAGAAATAAACAATACAAATTTACCTTCGTTCAATTTTTGCCGCAATTCCAAGGTTTGCTCGTTAGGAGGACTACTGTGATAGACTTTGTACAGATCCAACGTGCTGTCCTCGGATGCCTTCTCCTCCAAGGCACTGGTGCATCGTTCCACCAACAATGGAGCTGGACGCGAGGAGATGTCGAATTGCGAGCACAGGCCAAGACCGAATACTGCAATTGAGAGAAGAAATTATACACTTATACGACAGGCCCTCGGCTCGAACGGAATAGATACAATTTCGGAGTAACGAGAATAGAAAAAAAGGTTACTTTTCACCGTCTCGAGTACATCCTTAGCCGTAGGGGCGGGCATGTCAACGTATTTAAGGTATTTAAAATATTCTACGCTGATAAGTTTTAGCACCATGAAATTGTGACGTCGATCGAAACGAGAAAAGGAAAAAAGAGAAAGAGGAAAAAAAAGAACCACGAAGTTCTACCTTTCACTGTTCTATTTATTACCACGGCCTCTAAGCCTAAGGACTTATGTTAGTCGCTTCTTTCGCCCGAGCCTCCGCGTGCGCGTAGGAATTTTTTCAACGCGCGGCCGATAATAAAACTTTCATTTGTTCGGTACGTATGCGGTGTTTCTGGTGTTTGCGCGCAACCGAGCGGTCGCGTGACCTCCTCGGTTGTAAATGATACGAGAATCGAACACGAGCATCGCCGCCGCGTCGATAGGCCGCGTGGAAAAGAAACGATGAAACAGCGATGACTGCGTGGACGACTGGCGAGAGATCAAGATCGCGAACGAGAAAGAATATCGAGAGGACTATTGTCGAAGCGGGAGAATCCATTGGAAAGCGGATTACGGAGTTGAACGCGCGTGTCAAAGGGAAGAGAGTCGGCGGGAGGAAAAGAGCGCGTGCGAACAGGTGCACGTAAAAGATGCGCAACGGCCGAGCCGTTGACCCACTCGCGATCGGGCAAATAATCGCGAGGCGAAATTAATTGGTCGCGTCGAATTAACATTCCCAGGAGGAACACGTACGGCGGAATTGGAAACAGCGACCGGGAGAAGTCGGCATCTGCGAGAGATTCGTCGGTTTTTATGGACATGTTGGGAAGAAAAAAATTCTTGACATCTCACAGACGCATTCCAGACGCTCGGCATACAAACGCGAGAGACGCGTAAAATCGTAAAGAAGTCAGGAGGGAACCGGTGATTTCTTTCTCTTCCAATCCGGGGTCGATCGGGTGAAAAAAAACAATCGCCCCCGCACTTTTGAAATTACGTAACGTCGTTTCTTGCCTCGATGAAGAATTCTACGATGTATGATGATCTTTCGTGTGGTTGAAAAACCCAGGTATCAGATTCTACGCGTCCTTCGAACACCATTTCGGCGGGCTCGAATCAGTCTCTATCTCTCTCTCTCTCTATGCCGCTTTAAACGTCGGCCTCTATTCTATTCGATGACTATCCTGTTTTTCCTTATCTGCTCTCTCGAGAATGCGACTCGAAGCACGGCGTAGAGATCGTATTTTCGAACTAGCCGCGCGACTCGAGCCGACTTATCGTCAATACCGCGTATCCCACTTGTACAATCAAAGGCGTGTACGCATGCATTATAAAGAGATCGAGAAATAGAGAAAGAGAGCGATGGAGCGACAGAGGGAGGGAGCGACAGAGGGAGAGAGCGAGAGAGGGAGAGAGCGAGAGAGGGAGAGGGAGAGAGAGAGAGGATCGGAAAGAAAAGAAGAATGAAGCAGAAGAGGAGGAAGAGGATGAAGAAGAAGGTGGAGGAGGAGGTACCGAGAGAATTTCACGCAGGAGAGGAAGGAGAGAAAGGAGAAAGAAATTTATTATTACGACTACGACATTTTGTTTCTTGACGAGCGGCGCGTGTCTTCTCTATCGAGACGAGAGAGGACAGAGACACGGAAGAGAAAAGTTGGGATTAAAAGGCGCGCGGGATGATATTCACCGCGTGTACCATGTATATAAGTATGGATCGAAGGTGGGTTGGTTGGATAGAGGTCAATACGGAAATTCGATATTCGTCACGGTTGTTCTCGACGATCGGTTGACTGGTCACGGGGTCCCCGAAGGAAAGCTGCGATATCGGCGAGAAGTATCGCGACTGGCGCCGTACAATTCGAAACGAGGACGTTCCAATTTTACGAGGAGTACGTGGAAATGTTTTTATTGTCTTGGTCCGAATGATCGCGACTCTTGCATGTTCGGCCACGATGGAACGACCTGCGACTCCTCTCTCCTTCCAGCGTGCGAATTTTTTAAAAAAACACGACCAGTTTCTAACGAAACGACCGGCTTTATAGATCGTATCTTGCGTGAGCGAATTTCATAAATAACGCGACTACGCAGATTGTTCCGCCACTCTCCGTGTACAGCAGTTGCGCGCCTGCCTCATCGCGTTGACAACGACGCGACGCGACCAACAACTTAATGAAACCACCACTACCTCTCGTCATCGGAAGGCTAACGCGCATGCACGAGATCCAACGAGTGTGTGCACCTCGAGGAGGACGATACCGGCGTACGAGAGTGTAGAGAGTGGCGAGATTCGCGCCGCTCGCACGGTTTTATCTATTATACGGCCGTCCTCTCGATGACGATTCCGAGAGTAATCGTGGAATTTCTCAGAAGACCGTCTGCAGTTCGCGCCAACAGCTCGCACGAGTTACGCACATGCGTCCATGGTCGCATTGTAGGCGTCGAGAGTTGGTTGGAAAGCGGCGACGATCACGATCCTTCTCTCGTTCTCTAGCCAAAATACGCGAAAGAGGAGAGGAAAATGAAGCTGCGAACGTGACCGAATGAAATAACATTTTCTATCTTCTTCCAGCTCCGGCCACCAACGTTCGAAAGACGCATGAATATTTAGTTATTCAGATATTAGATCAACACTAGTAATGCGCCACGTCAAATGTCCTTGCTTCAAACTTCATATAATCGACTCTGGCGCGCGATTGCAAAGCAGTTCCAACGTCAGCGAACACGTTTCTGATGCAATCCGGGATAGTCAACTAAAAGACATCTGAATTTTTAAATTGTTTCCGTGTTGGGTCCATTAACGTAACGAAGAAGTAATGGGCGTGTTACGACCAAGCCGTATCAATGTCACATTACGAAACTGAACGCCACCGCGAGGTGTGCGGCGTTTTATACCGCGACAACTTCTTTGTGCCACTTACCTGGAGTAAATCTATGAGCACGATTTTCCGAGTCGACCGGCAAACAGTTAGAGGGTAAACCCGTCGCTGTACACGTCCTATGAGCTACCAGACCGCAATCTATCGAAAGAGAGAAAAAGAAACGAGACATGATTATATAAAAAGTAGAGCAAACGAGGCAAAACACGATTAAATCGTGTCCCGAAACTCTAATCGACGATCAAATGATAAGAGACAAGTTGAACTAAATATCTAATATCGTTAAAATAACTACGTTTCTCGACCTCCAATATGGGCGAAATTTCGAACGTATATAACGACGTTGCTTTACAAGTTGGTCGAAAGAAAAAGAAAAGAAAAAAGGAACAAGATTTTTTTCTTTAAGGAAACGTTATCTCGATACGGATTATCAGGCCATCGATTCTTTACCTAGACAGAGAAAGCCTTGATGCAGGAGGCCCCTGAGATATTTATGGCACTTATCGCACTTCTCCAGCACGCTGAAACTCTGAGGCATAAGGGTGTGAGGCGAATTGCCGGTGGCCACGGACCCGCTGCCACCATCGTTGGCCACATTGGCGGAGGACGCGTTCAACGTGGTCGTGGAGGCCGACAACGTAGCACCGACCACCGGTGTCTGACAGAGCTCCTCGATGCAAGCCAAGATGGTCTTCTGGTGGAAGTCATCCTTGATGCCCATATTCTACGAACAAGAAAACCAACACATTGTAGCGCGGAGTCTAAATGTATAAATCTGAAATCATCACCTACATTGCATCGTTAAAATCAACGTTGCCTCGTAAAGTTGTTCCAAGAGATCTTTTCGTTATTTCGATGGCTATGGATTTGAAACATAGGGACGATCTAATTTAATTTTTCAAGTAAGAAACAAGGAAGGGAGGAATGACACGTAATATCGAATAAAGAGTAAGTATAAAGAGAAATGAATAAAAAGAACAAAGAAATTGGAATTTATACGCGTTTGTTTCTCTCTCTTGAATGAAATCTCGTTTTCCAGGCAAAGATGATGATCGGCGAGTCAACAGGTGTCAGACACACGCGTGGCACGACGATGTATCATTGCATGCAACTCTCGATAAAGGACCTTTCGTGTATCATTGTTCAATTTTCAGAGTGTAACAACTTTCCTCGACTCGAATCGAGTAATGCAACTCGAAACGAAAACCCAAAGAGATGGCTTTACTCGATCTCCGATACGTTTTATTTATCCTCGTGCGACTTACGTAATATCCGCGACGAACGACACGTTCCAACGTAATGACGACGATAAAAATTTTAACGAAGTGTTGACGAAGTGCGGCAAAAGGAAACGCTATTCGTCTCGCGGCGAGAGATCGAGAAACATCGTGCGTGGCTGAACGAGGCGCCATTTCCGGCAACGGGTGACTGGCACGCATTTTTCCTCCAAATTATATAGTATACGCTCGCGCGGGCTATTTTAAAATGTGCCGACGAGAAGAACGTGTTTCCCCGGCGCCACGAGTCGCACTGGGCCAAACGATATTCTTAGCACCGTACGCGTGCCAGTAGCGGGGAAGAAGGATCGATGTGCACGCGTGTTATACACGAAACGCTGTGATTATTACGAGGTCCACGGGTTCGTGCGACCGTCAAATCTGACGCGTAATTATTTTGTTTTGCGTCCAGCCACCGTGCCAGGTTATCTCCCGGGATATGCGCACGAAGGATGAATCGACGACAGACGGAGACGAGAAATAATTTACGAATGTCTCGGCACTGGGGCAAAAAAGCGGATATATCGTGAGATGAGAGAGAGAGAGAGAGAGAGAGAAAGGATTTTTTGTTGGAATCACGACGCACGAGATAAGGGGCACGAAGTAATGCGTAATTTATCAAGCTGACACTCGGCGTTGAGTGTTAATTATACGCGACGCATCAATCCTCCGAGTTTATTCAGCGTTGCCGGCGGAAGATACGAGACGCAGTGCGCGAGGTAGTCGTTAAATCGTTACGCTTCGTCGTCTGGAAAGGAATACCACGAGTGTCGTTTCTGTTACGAAGATAGGTACGGCCTTAATGTATTTTCGATAATCGAACTGCGTCCGTTTTGAACACTAGAATGTAAAATTGTTTCTTTCTCCGAGAGAAAAAAGGATTTAGTAATGAAACAAAAACATGATATATATCGTCGATGCAACGAAGCTGAGACAGGAATTGATTTAAAGTTGTTCTAAAGTAGCCGAGGTTCCGTCGAAATGCGTTTTCCTTCGGCCGAGGTTCGAATATCGACGCGAAGGACGAGGCGAATGGGTATCGGACGATTTCTCGCGCCGAAAGGACACTTCCAGACGATTTACGAGTCGATTAGCATGGTAATATGCGATTTACACCCGTAGAAGCCTTGGCCAGATGAGTATTTTTATTCTTTTCGCTCGGACACGAAACGCGTCGTGACTAAATTTGCGAAAGATCCTTGCCAGGACACCGAGAGATGTGTCCTAAGAGAACGGACTTTTGGATGAGCACGGAAAGAGATTGCGAAATTTCATCATGGAGCAAGAGAAAAAGTTAGAAAAATGAAAAGATACAATCCATGTTCGTCTCATTTTACTTTTACTCGGCGAAAAGAAGGATACCGTGCATTGAAAATAAAAAGTTGAAATTGATGTTTCGTCTACTTCATGAAGTCATTCAGAGATAATGAGAAAGCACTCGTCAAGTACTTTCGATAATCGATAAACGATATAAAAAAAAAAAAAAAAAAGAAAAAGAAGAAGAAATAAAGAAGAGGAGGGGAGGACGCGATAAAGAATCGACTGTGCTATAGAGCAGACGCTACATGGCAATTACAGGGTCAACGGGCCAAGGAAAACGTCGTCCAGATACTCTTGAGTCGAGGTCATCGCCTTTGAGTACTAGCCAAAGAATTTTCGATCTCCCACCGTGGCTGATTCCGCTCCCGACACGGTTCCCTGCCTCGAAACAAGAAAAAACGAGGCAAATATTCGCGGCCGACTACTCCCTTTACCTTCGTTTTCCATCGAGAAACTTTATCGGCTTTCAACGTCTTGTAATATTTATGGCCGAGCTACTAACAAACGTTCGAAAATTGAACGAAAAAATAAGTAAATTGAAATTAAAGAAGAAGAGGGGGAAAAAAATCGACTTACCATCAGCTTATCCCGGTCCAAGAAAGGAAGATCGCTCCCCTTGATATCCTTAGATTTGAAGACGTCCGCATAGCGGTAGAGATTTAGAGCAGCCATCCATTCGACAACGTTTAAAGATGTCCACTCGCTCACGGGCTGTTAAAAGAGACGTGACACAGGTCAATCTTTTAAATAGCAAAAACTTAATAGTAATCAGACATTAAGTCGCGAGAGATTCACGCGCATATGGTCCACGACGAATGTTTGCAGATATAATTAATCGGCTTTCTCACGAATAGAATTACGTAAGATTTCCGGTAATCATTGGTCGCGAATTCCGCGCTGATAAATCTCAATGACGCGCTTTGCCATTTAAAAAAAAATTTTTTGACGAAGAATTTTTATATAAATAGAATGAATAATGTCTTGCATAAAAATTCCAACCATCACTGTGTTTCACTAGTCACAAATGTTAATGTCGGCTATAAGAATGTGGAAAAAAGATTGTCAATGTATTTCAATCCGTGTGAAGATAATCGTTAACCTTAAAACGAATATTTTTTATTCTGCAATCTATATATGTCTCATCGTACGAAGTAACATTGACGTAAGTAAGTAGATTTATACATACTATGATCAGACATAAGAATTCAAGACTCTTACCTGATCCCTATGATTAAATTTACGAATTTCGAATATATTAGGTAATATCAAGAAGAAAGTTCTGTTATTCCTTCTATGATAGAAAAATTTAAAATTTAATTTCACTCGAAATTATTCATTTCTGCATATTATTTTCAATTTAGAATGAATTTAAACAAAATTCGTAAATTAAACATTTTTGTAAATAAAGTTATCTTAATGAATAAAAATTTGTTTTTTTACATTTCTTGCATCTTTCTTTCTCATCGCATAAAAAATAATAAAACTTGTTTGATAAATATAAAAACTACATTACCAAAACGTATCGTTTATTGTTCTGTCTCGTCGTTCGCGAGGATGCTGTCGGCGGATGCGAGCGTGGATGCAAACGCGTCCACCACGCGACCAGAAGCTCGGATTAGATAGCACTAGCGCGAGAGAAAGAGGACGAGGAGACGAGAAAGAAGACCGAGCGCACGTACATACACGGCTAGCTAGTATCGGGAATGCTCCGATAAAGCGAAAGCGTAAAAACCAAGGGAAAAAGAAAACGTAACCTTCTCTCGTAACCTTAAGCCTACGATCGTGACGACACGAGCGAGATAAGGCCGCGTATCACCCACTCGAAATAAGACTCGGAATATTGTCTCCTGCGAATATACACGCGATTCATTTTAACGCTCCACGATACGTACACGAAGCGTTACTCCGAACTATTTTCATCTCTTTACTCGTCGCATCGTTCGAATCTTTCTCATAATCGAGATGAAAAGAAAATGAGAAATGATAGCGCCGAATTGCGTAAATTTGAAAATTGAATTAGAAATACACGATACACGATGTGTTGGTTGAAACCAGAGATGCGAATGTATCATTCAACGGGTTTGGCGCTAGCTCGCGAAATTACTACGCCGTGACATCGTGTCGTTCATAGGAATGCTTGCCGCTCGTGTGTATGTAAATTCGTGCACGTTGCCATTTCTCGTGTTCACGTGAACTCGTAAACATAAATTGCCGGAAAGTATGTATTATTCTATAAATAATACGTAGATTAGATCAAATCTGATCTTATTCCGATATTTTGAACCTTTGTGAATAATTGTAGATAAAGGTCTAATAACGATCTAGCGGAGATGAGGAGGATCACCGATAAAAAAAAGTCGAGATGGAGAATACAGTGATTAGCAAAGATTTGATTATTTTTTTTGAAATTTAATATAGAGACAGTAGCAATGTTACGATTTAGGTCGTTACGCCATCAGATCTCGAATAGGTTTCGCTCTGATAACGAAACCTGGCTAGTGTTTGTGTACAAAGTCATGTTCCGAATAGAGGTGGGTAAAGGGGAAAACATGCGTTCGAAGCAGACTTCCAATGCTCGTGGTGAGAATATGTCTGCGATTTATGCAAATTAAACAGAGATACGGAGATAAATTGGACGTGGAACCAGTTGGTTCACCTCTGAAGGCGAGTAACAGGAGCATGGCAAATAATTTTCCTTGTAAATCGTCGGTTTCAGCTACTGTGCACCATGAGAACAAAAGCATTCTTATATTTGCTTGAAATACGACATATATATATATGTCGTATTTTGCGCGCAAAATTAATTTTATCAATTAAATTTCATTGATTTACAACGCTACAATTTTAATTTTAAAATATAAATCGATTAAATCGCCAACGTGACCTTGCTCATGTCTAGAACTAGGCAAAATCGTTGTCGTGATTGTAAACCTGAACTTTGACTGTAAACAGAATCGTTTGCTGACGAAAAGATTTGAATCAAAATTCATTTAATAAAAATGTGCGACAAGAAAATCAAAATTAGATATCGAACTAAAAGAAATTTATTTTCAAATAATTTTAAATTAAATTTTCTCGAATCTCTATCTACCTATCTATCTGGATACAAGAACAAGAAACGATGCCTTTAGTTTCTTAACTTTCTCTCTTAAATGGCAGATGGATTAAACTGACATATTTAAAAAAAGAAAAAAGAAAAAAGAATGATTCAATTCGAAGATAAGAGCAACGATTCTTCAATCAGTTTATCAGTGATGTCTATCACGTGTTGACAAGAAAAAAAACATGTAAAAACGAAAGAAAGAAAAAGAATATGTAAAAATAATAATAATAATAATAATAATAAAAGAATAATTAAAAATAAAAAACGGATGATTTTACTGACCTTGTCCTTGTCGAGAACCTGGCCCGGTAGCGCGTGACCCTTGCTACTCCATTGGCAGAGGTGCTGCCCGCTGTACTCCGAGCAGACCACGTGGAAGCACGCATGGCACTCTGGAGGACATAGAGAACCGCACATGCAGCAACATAGATTACGCATAGTAGCCGGCTCGCGGCCGGCTCCAATGCCCTTGTCAAGGGCACGCTGTCCGCTATCGCCACCAAAGCCCTCATGACCGATTGAATTCGAATAGACGCTCTTCTCTGCCATTACATCGTAAGCATTACCATTTATCGACGATTCACTGTTCTGTTGTGAAAAATCATTGCACGAGCACAGATACTGATGAAATGATACTGTTCTCGCGCAAGGAAATAACCCGCTCGGCCATAGATGCGAAAATTCCTCTGCATTTTCAAGCAATTCCTTCGAAGTGCTTTTCGACGTTGGATTTGATCGGAATTGATCCGTAATCAAAGATAGTTTCGAAAATTGTTGCTTCCGGCTTATAGGAAGATTTAAAAACTTTGTCGAAGTTACAGAAGTGACGGAGCAAAAGGAGGACGACGAGGAAGCGGCATTATTAACGGAGTGGATTTGTTGCTGATTAACGGAGGTATGTCGTTTAGGCAAGAGCAACGCGGCACTTCCTTTAGAATTGAGTGGTTCCGATGGTGGAGGAGGATCGTTAGCAGGCATAGTTTTAATCGAGCTGGTACAAGTTTTGGTCGTGATCGCAATGCTGGTTTCGAGATCACTGTAAGTTCCATTGCTGTTGAAACCGAGTTTTGTGTGAAAATTACGTGGTGGTGGTATCTGTCTGGGATGCAGTTGCAAATTTTGTGCGATCGAGGAGGCGTTCGATATAGAGGCTGCCGGCACTATCGCGGGGACGGTGGACGTCGAGGCGACGGCGCCATTGGCCGAAGTGGCGCCTTTGCGGAGCATGTAATTGTCAGAATCAACGGCTAGGAGCCGCGACATGGCCGTGGACTTAGCCTTAGTGTCATCGTTCGAGTATCCCTTGGGCAATACTTCGATCTTGTCTGTCCTGGTTTTCGTTTCGGCGAGCTTCTCGTATTCCTCCTTGTCCGCACAGCTCGCCGCCGTTATCGGGCTAAAGAGATCGTGTATCCTGCCGTGTAAGCCGACCACAGGCTGCACCTGCGAAGCAGCGGTCGCAGCTGCTGCACCGGATGCACTCGACGCCCCCTTCATCGCTGAGGCCAATCACGGTCATCAAAACTCCAGCCACGACTAGGTTTTATTAAACACTTCCACGGAGGCTTTTAAGTTCAAGTTGTTACTTTCCGGCGAGTCCTGAGCCTCCCTCGATCGACGCGGATCGCCCATCATCGTCGCCTTAGCCTCGTCAACCGAAGTGCTCTCGGTTCCGTTTTACGGAACACGCAACAACAAGCTCACGATATAAGTCGCGACCAATTCTTCTTATTCTACTTACTTTCTTTCCGATCCCTGTCCTCCAAGATACACTGATTCACCACCGTTCGACTCTCGCGTGTTAAAAACGTAATCGCTTCAATTGATTCGCGTTGCAAGGTTACTCGCATGTCGCCACCAACGATTTAGCGATTAAGTTACGCTTTAAATCTTTTCTTTTTTTCTTTTTTTTTTTCCTTTTCGAAAAGATGCCAAATAACTTCAAGATTGGGAATTCTTTCGAGACAAGCGTAGAATAGATCGTGATTCATTGATCTCTGTATTTTTTTTCTCACAACCAACAACAATACATGATTTTAGATTTCTTTTATTTTATTCAAAAAGATTTACTAAACATTGCTTGAAACCGGCTTCGTTCGTTTAATTGTCGCATTATTAATTGCTGATCAGCCACGAAGAAACGTGTCGTTTCATATTCGATAGTTAGCTTATCGCCAAACACGTCGATATCTTTAAGAAGGAAAGATTCCACTCGTTATTAGCATGAAGAGAGATAAAGAGAATAAAAGAAAAAAAAAAAAGATCCGTCGAATTTCCAATAATCTCTTCTCAAGTGACGTGATCCAACGATGTGATTCGGTTCTCAATTTCGTCCTTTATTATTTTTTATTAATACGCTTGAAATGGAAATAGACAGACAACGGTGGAAGACAGATAAAGAGGAGAAAATAAAACAGAACAGAAAGAGAGAGAGAGAGAGAGAGAGAGAGAGAGAGAGAGAGAGAGAAAGAGAGAAAGAGAGTCACTACCGTGGGTGTGACCTCGCGTAAATTCGTTTTTCATAAATCTCACTCCTACCACTCTCTCTCGTGCGCGCACACACGACCTTTGTATAAACGCCGAGATTCGCCGAGCCGAACGAAACCGGTTTCGTCAAGCAACGACACCGAACGATTTTCAACGTAGTCCCGCGAGCCTGTATAGACGAGAAGAGAGTACCTCGTGGGTTATTCGAGAGAGCAATTCCAGGTGACCTTAAAGCGGTTCCCTTCGTCAATTAGATCGAATTATTTTACCAATGCGGTCGAACAAGTTTGCTATACGCTTCAGATCGAATCGGTCGTGGATCGAGCGACATGCGCGCACCTCGATCTCCGATTACTGTGCCTACTCAAGCAAACGTGTCTATTAACGTTTATCCTCTTCTGTTGCTCGTTTCGCGTAGCTTCTCTTGTAACCTCTATTCTCTCGTTGAAAATTAAAAAACAATCTTCTTTGTAGACAGAGAGATAGAGAGCGTGAAAAAAGCACGTTAGTGATCCGGATCTTCATAACCTTCACCGTCGTTAATTGCGATGAAACAACCGGCTCCTGTTTATCGTCTTAATAGTATGCGTTAATTCAAGACGGATTAGATAAAATAGCTTTCAAGTTGCGGCAACAGGCAAACAGAAGAATCATTTGTAAAAGAAACGTGTTCGTCTAATTTCACAGGTTCACATCAAGTCACACAACGTTGCTCGAAAATCAGACGATTCTTTTTTAAAAATTTCACAATCGATCATCACGATAAAACTGATCAAGAAACTTTCCATATTTTTTGTTCTTCTAGATAATAAAGTGGATTTATTAATTCAAACGATCCGCGCAAAGATCATCGATCACATCCACAAAACGGAATACATCCGCGCTTGCCCTTATCACGACCACCAGTAATCTGCGACTGCTGCGTCTCCTCGGTCTGCCTCACGTTCTTCCTCGTCGATAGATCACTATAGAGGTATCTTACCAACAGCGAGTCAACGAATCTGTCGGTAAAGCAGTTTGTCACGGACGATCTTATTACCTCGTTTCTTTTCTCTCTCTCGTTATACATATATAATTTCCTCTTTGATCATTGTTCTATTCAAACGATATATTTCGAAAGGTTTTTCAAAATTTTTTCAAAATTATATTACAAAATTCTTATTTTCCAATTTTACAATTCTTCTTGTGTATTGACACATTTCTAATTCGATTTCATCCTAAAAAACTTCGGTGCACTTAATCTTTAAACGAATTTAAATCTTTTGTTAATCGAGCATAACCGGCGTAGAAAACGATGATATCAAACTTTCTTACCGTATTATTCGTTCTCCGATCAGTCTACACCGGAACACCGGCATATACGTGCCTACTCGTAGAAACAGCGCACGCACGAGATGGAAAAGTCCACTGGGCACTGCACTTTTTGCACCGGCAGCCTGCACCACGCGCACACCTGCACATACGACGACGGCACACACGTCACTTTCTGCATGTATGTGCACGACACCTATCTATACATCTGCCTCTTTCCTTCGCGATACTCCTCTTTCTCTCTCTTTCTTTCTCTCTCCTCTCTTTCTCTTTCTCAACCGCTGTTCGTTCCTTCACTCTTTTCTCTCTTTTTCTACCTTTGCCACTATTGTTTCTTTCTCTCACGTTTCGTTCCTTTACTCTCTCTTATATTTCTCTCCTTCACTTCGTCTGCTCGCCATACACAGCCGGTCTACGTGCCGACTAACCGTGGGCCAAGTCTTCAATTTCTCTCCCTTTTTCTCTTCTCTATCTCTTCTCTTTTTTTTCCGTCTGTTCTTTTTTCCGTTTCACCAATGTCCTCTTATTTCATTGAGTAAGTTTATTAAATTATTCACAAGCATACGGAGAAGATTTCCAACTTTTTGGCTTTCACTGGATCCCAAGTCGCTAAGATCGGTGTTTTCGATTTATTAAACAAGTACACATCGCTTTAAGTAGCACCATTAATTTTCCGTGCGATCGCCGGTCACGTATTACGATACTTGATATGGTCTCTCTGTCTAGCTGTCCGATATTGTCTCTAGGTTTCTTCTGTCTTTCCACCTTCGCCGATCCTTGTCGAAGCGTTTTAACTTTTCCACAGATCCCGTCTTCTAACACACTAGATTCCGTCCTCTAATAGACTTTTCTTTGCCGTTGCCACCGGCCGCGAATCATACATCTACACGGACGATTTCCTACCAGAGAAAATATCTCCGGCGGCTCGGCGCACAGCTGACCGGCCGGTCCGCCAAGTTCGGTCAATAGCCATAGCAGTCGCAGCCTGCCGAGGGTTGCTCGTGCTCGACCGTCGGCGTTACACTTCGGTCTGTTCCGCCTCGTTTCGGCTCTTTCCGTGGCCTTTATGCGAGCCATCTCCGTACGTAGCGACTATCGGAACCCCGGGCTTACCGGCCGATCGAAGCGGCTTCGTGGAAATTCCCCGACCATTTTTTACGCTCGGCTTACATGCTTCTCACGCTTAGGGGGTCTCGTTTTTCGACTTCACATCAAATAGAAACAGACATTTCCTCGAGCGAATTAAGATTTTTTTTTTTATTAAATGATCAACAAATGATCAACAAATGATCAACAAATGATCAACAAATGACCAATCAAAAAACGTGAATAAACTCACGATTATCGGAATTTCTGTCATCTGATTGATGGCAAAGGTTGATGATTTTTATCAAACAAAAACCAGATTATATACCGAAATATTATCTTTTTTCATTTTCATACTTTTTCTTTTTTCTTTTTTTTTACATACGTTTTAAATAATCATCGATGTTTTTCCGATTTGATATGGAATACACATTCAAAACAATTAATTAAAAATTACCATCGAATTACAATCGGTCTATCAACTCGAACTTATTCTTATCTGGGACCAGCTGCGATAAAGTCTACCGCGCGAACGCATCTGCAGTTTCTAAGCACGCGACGGAATAAAAATCGCGATTAAATATATAAGAGCCGATATAAAAGTCATGCTTGACAAAAGAGAAAAAAACATCGTTCGTTATTGTTCGACTAAATCGAGCTGGACCAATATCGTATTGTTGGAAGTTACGTGCCTCGTTCGAAAAAACGTTCGATGACCGTTCGCGTCAAACGTAAATCCACTGTTTGATGACTCAAAGATCCGGAATAGGTAAAAATTCCATTCGGTTCAAACGCGTAAAAATAAATGGATAATAAAACGAATCGGGTTTCGGGATAAACTCATCCTCGACTCCTCTTGGAAATTCAATGGTCGAAAATTGTCGATTCGTTGAAAAAAGAGGGATACGTGATTCTAAATCTCTTTCTATCCGCGATAGTTAGAGAGAAGGAGTAAAAATCGAAAATTCCCGTCCCCCTTTTCCGTGTCGTAAATGTCAATGCTGACGGGGACAGAATCAGATTTCATTCTTTACGATCAGCCTTTACTCTCGCTCTTATCGTGAAAGCGCTGCATGCGATACGCTCAAGTGCGTACGCACGTGCTCTCGCGCGCACCAAGGGCCTCCCGCTACTCGAATCATATGAAAGGGCCGCGCGCGTATAGTACTTGAAAGGGAAGAAAGGGATGTGAAAGTGAAAAGCGACTTTCCAAGGTAAAAGAGGAGACATGCGGGGGCAGGAAGAGAGGGAGAGGGGGGGGGGGAGAGAGAGAGAGAGAGAGAGAGAGAGAGAGAGAGAGAGAGAGAGAGAGAGAGAGATGACGCGATACAAGGATCCCTGGACGTGAGATGATCGAATCCGGCCGCGCAGGCGTCCTGGTTCGAGTATCCTGTTCAAGGTCACAGTACTAACCACGTACCAACCCTTCACCCTATGTTATAAACACAAAAGGACCGATCGATTTCCCATCGGAAAGCCAACTGATAGACCCTTTTCGTACAGACACACGAGGAAGAGGGATTAAATTTCAATCGACGTGTCTGTAGTTATTTCGGTACTTTTCCGATATTCTTAACGACTTGTTCTGTGCCTGAAACGGCACTTCTTTTTTTTTTTTTGTCAAGGTCTCTTTAGATAAGGATATGTCACAACGATACTTGAAATAGAATGACGGTCTTAATGGATGTCCAAAAGAAGCAAGTATACGCTTATATTCGAAATAAACAAGAAACAACATGACAATGTGACGTTTCGATCCAGTAGATTTTCCTAAAAGCAAAACTATTAAACGATCGAAAGGCGAAAAATCTCTTTAAGAAGCATTCTCGATTCGAAGGTGTGCATCGTGAGAGCGAAGAAATTCTTAGATATCGAACGGTGTTGCGGCAAGAATCGCGTTTTCTTTTGGCGCGCACTAGTGGTATGTTTTAAATCAGGTCGAAAGAGGCGCGGCGCGCTTTTCACGCGCGTTCTACACGCGTTATTAAATATCTCTATTGCACGAACCTTGCTTGATAACTTTCAACTATGCAAGGCTCGAGACTGGTGGCTGGTCAAATAAAAGCCACGACAAAAACTTGCTTAGCCAGATGGGAGGAAACACACACCGAGAACAGAATTTTACGTCTACGGTTTAAACGGCCCAACTAACGGGCACGCCTCCGAAGAGAACCTCCCAGATCGTGATCCGAAACTTGAACAAAAGCGGTATTCTTAATGTTCGCCGATCGATCGATCGATCGATCGAATACGACGATAGGTCGAGAGGATCTCAGGCTTGCGTGCGATGGATCGTCGTCACGCGTTTGCGCGTGCATATGCACATGTTAACAGCCGATTACAAAGAGAACCTTGTCGCCATCTTCCATTTTCTATATAAAAATCTTATCTCGGCGACCATGCGCGTCCGCGATATCTAACGATATAAACAAAATGAAGAACTCTTTTTCGCGACGCTCCAATTCGATTAGTCTCGAGTATTTAAATGTACGTCGCGATAACAATACATGCCATTGTACTTGACCGGCTCGTTGGGGGCGGTATCGGTTGTTCGGTACCGCTCGTGGAATGTTTATCGCCGCGATAAAGAGTATATTTATTAAAGGTAAATAATAGAGTATCGTCGATATCGAATCTCTCGTTGACGACGAGTATACTCGAGTTTTTCCTAACAACAGTGACACGCAGATGACCCGATACGTACCCACAATCCGATCGGTTTAACGTGGATTAACACTATACTAGGGAAAAACGCTTTATACAGTTATAAAATCGGTCGATCACGTCGATTCCTATAATGTAACGTGTCCTCCTTTACTTTCGTCAATGCTTAAATACGACAACGTAACGAAGATACGCTCTGTTGCACCCGTATAAATGAGAATTTCCGATTCGTTTTTTTTTATTATTATTATTATTTATTATACTCTTCGACTGCTCGATACTTTTATACGTCTCACATGTCATGCGCGTAATTGTGGAAAGAGTTAACGCGTAAATTAATTCCAACATCGAGCTGCATACATCGAGGAAGAAGCCAGCGATCAAAGCCAATGGCACGTCGAAACTATCGATGACGGTGATTATTTAACCATGTAAATTGATTCGTAAAAATTCATGCCTGGTGCCGTGTCTTTTTGCTCACAATTACACATTTCGCATTGAATCGAGATGGATTAACATTGCTTATTCGTATTCGAACATTAGTCAAATTGAACTTTTATTCCTTTACTTCTTAGTTAATTTAAATTCGATTCAAAGAATCGCGAATAATAGAATCGTACGTAAGAATCGTAGGCGATAGATTCTTGTATTGTAACGAGACGAATTATAGGGCAGTGATACGTAATCGACAAAATTGCGGATATTTCGATGATAATAACTCGAATATAATTGCCGAACGGAAAATTGTCATCAGGAAAACATACTCGAATCGCGTGCACGTGTTCTTCGTGTTACGTATCTTTACGAGAAATCCGAATGGCGAATCGCGAATTCTATTTCCGAAATGGAATTAATTCAACCAGGATTTTCCTCGAAATTCTAAATGGAAACGTCCTTGGGACATCTCGGAGCGAGAAAGCTCGTCGTCGCAGCGAGTAATGTCTCCCAAGACGAAGCTGACGAGCAATCTGGTCCATATAAATGCTGTCCTTTTAATTCAACGAGAGCGCACCATTGGCGACCTGTGCCACCGTAAACCTCGATTAACTCTGTCGCGAAACATATCCTATTCTCCTCGCGTCGGCTCCATCGTTTACCCCGGGAATCCTGAATTTCCCATAGCAACGTGACGGTGCACTCCATTACCCATGACCTCCGCCCTGAGCCTGGGGGCCTCTATATCTGCGAATCAATGCAGCTCCATTGCGTGCATCCCGGTTCTATGTGTGTGCCAACCGTGTACGCGGCTGTACATGCATGTATCAGTCTCCGAAATACTGCCGGTAGCCTAATCGGAATAGTCACGCGACGATCGGTGCAAACATGGAAAATAAGCGAACGTGATCGTTTTCTCTCGCCTTATTTCCCTCCTGTCTCGCACGTCTGTCTACCGCGTAATTTACATGGTACACGAGAAAATAGAGACACACTTCGGTTCGTATGGAACGGGAACACGTTATATCGAAACCGGTGCAATTCATTACCGCTAACAGTGCGTCTTGTTACTTTACGAAGAAGTCGATCCGTGTTCTATTTATCCGTTAAAATCGGATTAAAACCAAACGAATCGTTTATTTTACTCGTGGCCAATGTGAATTTTAGGAAGGAAATAAGGGTAAGCGCGTTCGCGCGGTTTGCGAGTGTTTCGAGAGAATTCCGGTAAAAACTCGAGAGGGACACGAGAGACAGGGAGTTCTAGTTTTATCCTCGACTTCCGCGAGTCAGTGGAACATTGGTTGAATAACTTGGTCCGACTCTTCCCGATTCTTCTATATAAATATTCCGCTCATAAATATGTATACATTGCAAATCGGGTATGCGCCAAGACCGTTGGAAGCGTATCAAAAAACGGAACAAAAGGATGATGAATGAATTTCATCGTGTCAGCGGGGCGAAAAGGGGGTTGAACCGCGGCGAAAGAAGAAAGGTGGGCGTGCTTGTGATCTCGCGTTATCGAAACTTGTACGCGATACTTATCCATCGGCGATCGGGAACGTTTATTAAAAGCGACGAGCCAACACGTTTCTTCGAACCATCAATTTTAAATTCGCGTACGAACACGGGATTTTCTCGTACCATGCGCATATATATATATATATATATATATATATATATATATATATATATATATAACATAACAACGAAAAACATAAAGTTTCGCAACCAACGTTGCATGCATACCAATACTCAATCATGGGTTAAATGAAAAAGAGGAAAGAAATCGATTTTGAATATGCGAGAGCGACAAGAGGCGATAAATTTGAAGAACTAAACAGGTAGAAAAGAGTGGGCAGTTTTATTCCCAATGAAAGTTATCTGAAATCGTAAAAGCTAACTGAAGAAACTTCTAACAAGAGAATCCTAAAAAAAAAAAAAAAAGATCAAACCTCGGTTCGTGCAACGACCCGCTCCTTTCTCTCGCGCAACGCTCAAGAGGTAGAATGAAAAAAGACGGTAATACGCGTTGCACGGTCGAAAAATCTTGGTGGAGTAGAAAAACACGAAGCATTATTTAGACAAGCTGCGCTCTCCTCCGTTGAAAGAATAAGACTCTCTTCTCTCCGTCTTGTTGAAAAGAGTGGGTGTATTAAGAAAATGCGTGGCTAAAATTCAAGGTGGAGGAAAGGAGAAAGAAAGGAGAGGAGAAATAAAGGAAGAAAAAACATGAGGACAACGAGTGACTAAATATCGAGACATTAACCGAGCGGTATGGTGCTCGAAGGTACACCGAAAGAGGGAACTCGCCTGCTCGAGGTGGACGAGTTAATTTTAGTTTAATCGACCGACCTGATACGAGAAGCTCGTGTACGAGCGTCGGTGCACGTACGTAAGTAAGCAGTACGTATCCGCGCACTCGAGAACGAGTCAAAGCACGCCTCTATACATACGGAAGGACTTGTTATGCGTCGCTGGCTTACGTGTAACTTCGACAACCGCTGCTTTTCCCCCCATGGAATTCACTTTCGAGTTTCCCGACACAACGCGTCACAAAGTTCAGGATAGATATAGGAATCTCTATGCATCGGTTCCACGCGTATACATATATATATATATATCGTCGCGCGTTGTGCAAATTCGATCATTTCGATACGGAAATTATTTATCTCGATACGGATCATTTACGAACATTGCTGAAAATCGATGATGACGACCGTCTACCATGCCCGAGTTCCCCTACGTAAATGCGTGGAAATTGACTGTTTAAGCTTAACCGGATGATACTCGTAGTATAACCGTAGCGGCTGCGAGAGGCTTCCGTTTTAGAGTCAAAGTGCATTCGGATCGTTCGTGTAAATGGAACGGGCGAGGGAGGGTTCGAAGTCGTTCGGATCGAAATCATTCAATTAAGGTCAGTGGCTACTACGAAACAATCATCAGGCCCGGCATCGGGTGACGAACGCTGAAAAGACGCTTTCCCTTGGTCCTCTCGAACCAAGTTTTCGATAATCGAAAATATTATTGGCGATCCGCTCGTTATCGAAAGAGCATCGTACCTTCGCCGCATAGCGAAGCGATGCAACGAGGCTTAGGTAGCGAGAAATACGGAAGTTAAATGTCCCCTCGACGATAAGAATGTGTAGGGCGTTCTCCAGAGACGAATCGAATACAAATCAGAGGAGGGAAGGTCGAAGTACCTTGGGCGAATAACGAGTCGCGAGGGTTTGAACGCATCTAAATTCAAATCGGCAATCGGTTTCCGAGACTTTTGAAAACGAGGAAAATGAAAATATTTTTTATAGTTTTTCCAAAGATTTGATACGCGTCGATTTGATTCGTGATTCGATGTGGTTAAAAAAGTGGAAAAACTCGCGTATCTGTTTGAGTGGAGGGGAAAGGAGACAGGAACTGGGGAAGCCGGAAATCGAGGAAAAAAGGGGGGAAAGCAGCAGAAGGGCGAAGCGCTTGCGCGACGAGCTCGTTTCCATGGCTTCGTTCGTTTCACGTAGCAACAGGAGGACTTTTGACCCCGTTCGATTGTCCTTCGAAACAACTCGATGCCTCATCGTTTTCTCCCGCTTTGTCGGCCGAGAGAAGTGAAACGCATCGTTGAATCGCACTTAGGCGTCACTCTTCTTTAACCTCAACGCGTGTACCGTCTTCGATAAGATTCCTCTTAGTCCGACGATAATACTTCACTTCTATCATTTATTATAACGATCGTACGTATACTTGGGGATGATTGCCAACGAAAACAACGAATAAAAAAAAAAACATCCGAAATTCGCACAGCTTGAACTACTCAAAAAAAAAAAGACAGGTCCTAACGTCGATGAATTTCGAAAGCGTTGATCACGAATGACGCACGAGTTTAAATTTACGAGCGGATCGATGCGCAAAGAAAGCCACGATACGGACGTTAAGTGGCACGTATATGAACAATGCCTGTCGTCGAACAGAATAATTTCGATATTGCCTTATTATGCTACATTCGAAATATATGCCGGTCGTTTTCCAAGGCAATGCACGCAATTTTAACGAACGAATTATTCTAAACAAGAAACATAATGCGCATGAAATTTAATTACAAAATATGCACGAGTTATATATTCTAATCCATGGATTTTCCTATAGATCGAGAAGCATGTATAGCAGTGGAAACATTGTCAAATCGCGATCCTCGCATCGCAATCAAAATCGGTGAAAATCTCTTCTTGAATAGAAGAATAAAAGAAATTGAAAGGAATTTTTTAGTCAGATTCTTTGACTTTTTGTTCGACGACTGTGAAGCAAACACGCTTCTTTTCAACGATAGAACGAAAAAGATCATCAATTCATACGAGGAAAGGAAATATTTTCGCCAAGTGAATAGTACAGTCTACAGTCCTCTTATTTCAAATCGTGCGAGAGCATACTTTGATGTGATTCTTTCATCCAACTTCTTTCTAATCCACGCTTTTTCCCGCGCTTAGTTTCTACCATAAGTATGCGATTGCACGTACTTTCACTCCTCTCTTCTTTTTTCTCTATCGAATTAAGAAAAGAAAAAAAAAAAAAAGAAAAGAAATTATAGTTCAAGATGATTTCATATTATCTAGATTATTTTTATCCCCTTTTTCTTGATATACGTGTTCACGCATAAATGGCACGTAACTATCAAACTGAATATAATATCTACTAATGTTAATCATCCCCATGGAAAAAACTAATCGGAAAAATGGACAATGATTGTATGCTCGTGAAATTCAATGTTTTAAATTGGAGTTATAAAGACGTATCGACTCGAACGTAGGTCATAGAAGGGTGCAGACATTCAGAAGCGTATCTTTGATATGAAGGAACTCGTTTTATCGTCGCGACTTGATCGTTTTTCTCTCTTTTTTTTCCCCCTCTTTCTTATTCTTTCTTCCGTCAGAAAATAGTATCGATATCAGATACAGTTCACAAACTCGTAATGACTATGTATAAAAGTGCTCAGATATTGGTGGTAAATGTTCCATGCAATCAACTGATTTTCAATGATTGCCTGTGGGGGATCTGGTTGATTCTCGTACGATCAAAGAGCAAAAGTGTGCAAAACGATTGTTCTATACGTAAGTGCGGTTACATCAATTGTATCTTTGATTTCTGCTTTCTTTCGTACGATTTCGTGCTAATGCGATTAATTGAAAAGCATTCGTCTCGCGCGTCCGCGTGCTACGTGATCGCTGTGATAGTTTCCTTTTCCAAGCGTGAAATCCAATGAAACGTAAGTAATTTCGTTTGTACAGTTGCCAGTCTATGATATCTGCTATTGGCTAACCTATACGCCAATATACTTTCAGGAACGATCCGAAGAAAACCTCTGCTCCTCTACCTTTCTGTTCGCTAATTTTGTATCTTCCATGTATTCGTAACGAGTCGTGTCTATATTCGGCATACACGCTCGCCAAAGATGCACAAATTATCATGGAATAATTCTGGAGTTATTGTACCGAGATAAATTTGATTTTTTATTTTCCTATTGAAAATGATGAATATCTATATTGAAAGACATTCATAAGAATTTTTTGATGTCAAAGACCGAAAGACGATATAATATTATTTTAAAATGTAATCGTTTTTATAAAAGAATATAATCGAAGAGCAAGAAATAAAAAAAAAAAAAAAAAAAATTACTATCTATTTTTCTCTTAATAAAAAGATAAAAAGAATAAATAACGAAGGTAGTAGAATTATTAATAGATATTAAATAATATCGATCCAATGTATAAATAGTAAATATTCAAGAAGTTGTACACATTTAAACGACATAGGAACAAAGTTCATTACAGAGTAGATACGTTCCTGGGTCGTACGATGGTAAAACGTCGATGGTGGGGAATAAGAGGGACAGGAGAGGGTTGTGGAGTTTCAGAAAAGAAACTGCCGGCTGAGCTGGAAACGAACGCGAGGTAAGGTGAAGGGGGACACGACAGCACGCCACTTGAAGTCACCGTGACTGCATGTGTTACTATGCTACGGTATCGCCCTCGACGGTGATCGAGGAAACGATGATGAACCGTATTGTCGTGCTCTACAATTTTACTTCGAAGAGGGCGACTATATCGTCATTTTACACGGTCGGTATATTTCATGATTTGCTAATTTTGAATATTGCGAGATTGATAACTTTTTCGAACTATTAAAATTAACAAAGAAATAATTAGTTATTCCTGTTTGATTTGATTTTTAAATTTTTATGGATTTACATTTGACACAAACGATCGCAAAATAAAATTCTGATATTGCATTAATATTTATCAACAAAAAAACTTGAAAAAACTCACCTTTACATATGACGCCCACTCTTCCAGTGCCCCAAACATAATCTTCACCTATAAAAATAAATAAGATGGTCAGTATAATTGTAAAAAAAAATATATATATATATATAGCTTATTTTATAATAATACTTACAATGCTTACAAAGAATAGGAGTTAAAAAATATGTATCTATGAGGATGTGATTATTTTTAGGTTCCGTATTAGAAGACTCAGTTACATATACTATAACAATGAAAATAGAAAAATTTTTAAATATTTTAAATATGAGTTACATCTGTTATATACATAATTAAAAAATGTTAAATACCATATGGCCTATTGCTGAGGGTTACATAAGACGACTCTTCTTCATTATGAGTGTCTAAGTACGGTGATAAGTTTCCTTTCAGCATTAGGACTTCCTCGCGTGTACCTGCAGCACCTAAAAATATATTATTTAAAAAATTTGATTTTTCAAATTAATTTTTTAATTTTTAAAAATTTCTCATACCGGTACAAAGTCTTCTCAGTTCTCCTGTTGTTTATACAAATATAAGCACTGTTTTTTTTTTTTCCCCCTCCAAAATGGAGCCTTATCCGAAATTTCTTAAGAAATAATCACATTAACATGTTCTCTCCATGGAAAAATATATTAAAATTAACTCATTTGTCAGTCATACATAGTATGTAAACGCGAGTAATTCTGCACAACACTATAATCACAGAACATAATCTCTCTTGATTGTTGTGCATCCTCTTCTTAGACATTAAAACATTTTTATTCCACTGTAGTTATACCACAAATTGTGTCAGAACAAATTCTTATTCAATATTTCATGTATGCTACTTAAAATTATTTGTAACAATTTGAGCATCATTTAAAATGTAATTTTTATTACTTTATAAAATTGATTTTTTTATTGATTATATTAAACGGCACCAGAATTATTACAAATTTACAGTAACTCTCATTTAAGGCTACTCGCTTGTATACATAAAATTATTTTTAAAAATCTTGTTTGATAAATATATACATATATATAATGTATAGCAATATATGTAATAATGATCTGTGATGATATTTGAGTGTTAATTTCTCTGAACACACAAAATCTATTAAAGTAACTTGATATGAACACAGCGATAACTAGTTATGCATGACAATGTGATGCATCATGATTTTATCATTCTTTCTTGCATTTTTTTTGTGGAGATCTATAGTTCATCTGTACCTCTTCTTTCATACAAATATTTATTTCATGCTTTTTCATATCCACGATCACTTAGTGCAATTTCTGTAACATAAATCAATGTTTATGAAATTTTCTGCATAATTCTATAACATTTATGATAATAATTCATAACATATTATAGTTATATTTCATTAAATCTTCAATTATCCAATATATTTTTCACATAAAAACACTAACACATTAAACAATATATACTAAAATAAATATTGCATATATAAATAGCATAAATAAAAAGCAAATATAGTCTTATTAATTACGAATAATTGGTATAAATTTTTGCAATTATTACTTTTTATAATAAAATAAAAAAAAAAGTGCGTTTGTCTAACCGATGACGCGAATGGCGTACATAGCGTTTCAAAGTGACCAAAGTTATAATCAATGAAATATTATGATTTTATAAAAGTCATTATTCCGTTATATTATAAATTATAAAATAAACTCGCAAATATTATAACTCATTTTAATCACATGATGATTTTTACACGCACAAAATTTTATAATGCATGTCTTTAATGATGAATAACATAACACAGTTTACACGCGTGTTAAGTAACCATGTAGAAGTAATGTTCTTTGAATTCTCATAAAGAGTTTATTTTTCAGTTATTATCATATCTCACATAATCATATCTTTTATGCACTGCCAGATACAACGCCCAAAAGCAATTCGAGAAAGATTAGAGTTCTTACGGACAAGAAACTTGATGGAGTGATCGGTGGGGATGCAAGAATGAGATCTGATAATAAAGATATCGTAGAACCGATAAACATTAAAAACACTACCTTCGCACTTCGGCACATCGAATTTTTGAGATTTTCAGTTTCAGCTGCCGACAAATCGACAGCAAAATTTGAAAAGATCAAATAGTAAGTGACAAAGAATTGTTTCCCTCGATCGCAATACGTACGAACACGGTTAGGCCAGGCAAAGCAGCTGAGGGCGCTACGATCGATCATTGCTTACGTTTTATCAGGATGGGAAACTTACTTTTTCAAATTTATTTTTACTTATTTTTATTTTGTTTTTCTTTATATTTTTTAATACCTTTATGAATTTATTGCATAAATTTGAAAATCACTTTTTTCTAACAACATTTAAAGATATAAAAGAAATCTATCAATATTAATTTCATATAAATTATTAATTTTTTTTAAATATCTTATATATAAACTACTTTTTTTAATAACTTCTTTAATTCAAGTAATTTATGATGATAAATTAATTATGATAATAAAAATAAAGTAGATAGAATAAATAAATAAAATAGATGGTATATTAGATTATAAATCCCTAGATTTGTCCCCACCAATTCGCAATGTGTTCTTAATGTATTATAGAACACGATAAAATTGACATTTGTCTTTTTGTTTTCACGTGGATAAGACACGCTGCGTCCCCGAGACAGCATTCATTTCCTAATATAGAAATTCAGAACGCGGTGAACAAAAGTATAGCATTATCATGGTTCGCGTAATTAGTCAGGAAACCTATGACGAAGTTGTTCATGAAAATATGGAGCAATTTTCGATGACTCCGGAAGAAGCTATAGAAGACGCGGTAAAACAATTAGAAGCTCAGGTATCTAAATTTGTTTCTTTTTAATTTTCTATTCTGTTATATAAATTTCTATAAAATGTTTGTTAATTTCATACAAATTTTACTTCAAATTGCACAAAAAACAATTCATCACTTTAAATTATAATCAATATTTTAACGTTATTCATTATATAAAAATTTTCGAAATTTTAATTTAAATAAGTAATATTTCTAATCTTATATCAAGCTGTTTTATATGGAGTTTATGTCAAATTAATTCTTTTTTTTTTTTTCTTTTTATATAAATGTTAGAGTTCTAGTAGTAACATTTTTTTATTATCTTTACATTATTGCAATTAATAATTTTATTTTTATATCAATAACAGATAAAAAAATAAATATCAAACTATATAATATTGTAATTTTTTAATTTAAAAATATTAAAAAAATATTACAAGAATACTAGAATTCAAATAATCTAGAACACATTATATAAGTACTTACATGTTGTTTTTATCAATTCTATTTTTATAGGGTATAGACTTGAGCAATATCATTAAAGATTTAATTCTCAATGATGACAATGAATTAATTACATCTTGTTTAAATCAAATTAATATTGCAATAGAAGATCAAAATTATGGAAATATTCATCATACATTAGACAAATTGAGAATTCAATTAGATAAAGATATTGCACGTAGAGTATATGCAGGAAGAAATGGGGCTTATAATAGTTTAATAAAATTAATGAAAGCATGCCTTAATAATGGTACAATAATAAAGGCAGCATTGAAAACTATTACTTCATTGATGACTGGTAATCCAGATTTATTAAATGATGAGGGAATAGCCTTACAAATACAGTAAGAAATTATTAGTTATGATCAAATACAATATGGGCAATTGTTTTTTATTTATAAATTATTCCATTTGTCAGGATTTTAGATAATTATCCAGACATTCCAACATTACAGTGTCTTTTACGGTGGATAAGAGAATGTTGTATAAAGCATGAGAATAATAGACAAAATATTTTTAATGCAGATATTTTTAATAAGCTTAAAAAAATATTAATTCGAGATAATGCATCTGGACCTGAGTTAAGAGATGCTTGTGCTGTAATTAGAGCTCTGGTATTAGATGATGATATTAGACATGAATATGGAAAAGCACATGAGCATGCAAGTATTATTGCAAAGGGAGCCCTCAATGTTCTTACTGGATTGATGCCAAGTAAATAATGTTTAATTCTTTGTATGTATAGAAAAAGTTGTATATGCAAAAAAAATTTTAATAGGTACATTTTACTGTGTATAGGATATAAAAAAGATAAAGGGGTTGTAGGTGATTTAATGATAACTTTAGCAGCATTAATAGTGAGAAATGAATTTTGTCAAGAAGTAGAGGATGCAGGAGGGTTAAAATTTGTTATAGATGTCATGATCGATTATCCAGATTCAGAGAAATTAAATTGGCAGGCTTTAAAATTATTAAAAGCTCTTGCTGGAAATGATAATGTGAAATCTCACATTGTAACTTCAGGCTGTGGCCCTTTAATTGTTTCTGTCATAAGTAGACTCAAAGTAAGTTTGTGATTCTTGTGATGATGCTTTTCTGTGAAATATGTTGATTAGTGTTTAGATCTATGTATGTAAGAAAAAATTTTAGCACTGAAATGTTAATCATGTCATAGGAATCTGAGTGTGTAGTGACCGCAGGACTTGCATGCATTTCCGCATTAACACTGAGGTGTCCCTCAAACGCTGGTGTGTTTTATGATTGCGGAGCACCGCTTATAATCATAGATGCGATGAAAGCTTATTCTAAAAGCGTGAATGTTTTGAAACAAGCTGCTTGGGCTATTCGAAATATGTCTGTAAGAAATAAGGCAGAATGTTCAGAATTTATTACTCATGGTGTAGAGGACGTTTTGACAAGTGCTCTTCAACAACATGGTTCTAAGCTCGAAAGTGACGTAAAGGCGGCTTTGAGAGATCTGGGATTGAAAGTGGAATTGAAAGAAGAATGGACCGGAAAAGGTACATCCTTAAACAATGGGATTAATTAATCGGTATCATGTATATTTTGCAAATATTTCAAATTTTTGTACATCTTACTTTGAAAAATGATAAATATACATGTGAAAAATTAACGGCTGATATTAGTATTTTTCGTAGCAATACATTATATGTATTGTTTTTGTAATTTGTTTTTTTATATATATATTGATGTATATTTATGCGTTGTATATTATTATAAATTTATAATAAACTTTTATCTTTATTACGATAAGATATGCAATTAGTGATTCACGACCACATATGAATACCACGTTTTAACTAAAAGTTTTTATTTCATTATCTCGTTTACATTGTCATTTTTAGAAAATCTTCTTAGAATTTTCTTATTCATATCATTTTTATTGAGCAAATGCATTGATTTTTGTCAACACATGAATGATATTTCCGAAATTATTGATTTAATTAATTGCGTGAAAGATCTTATTAATTACTAAACATTTAAGAAAAATTTTTCAATTTATTTTTTGCTCTGAGTAAAGTATAAGCTCGATTTTAATATTTTGTCATTTTAGATCTTGGAATTTCTTTTGAGCAATGTCAGGTGTATAATATATACATATACCTGATTATTATGAATAATATCCGAAATTACATCCATCTTTAAACACATATCCATCATATACATTGTATAGCATTTTTTCCGATCAGTCTATACTCTCCATTTGTCCTTTACATCTCTAAATACCAAAAATCGTTTACAAAGAAGTTTTCACAAAACATCCCTTTTAATATAAGATTTAAATATACTCGATCTAATTAATGTTACTTTTAATAGGAGTATGAATGAAGATTTAAAAACACAACTGCATATAAAATTTATTCTTTTATTTTTTTGCATAGAAATGACATTAATAATTAGAGGATTAAATTTGTGAAAACTTCTTATGTTACGGATAATATCTTTCGAATATCATAGAATACACATTTACGATCAAGAATTGCTTCATTTTCAATTCTTTACATCGATAATTCATTATTAATTCTTCGTTGTACTTCACTCCTGCAAGAGACTACGATTGTATCACAGTCTTTGACGAGGTCACATTTGCTAACGAGCACTATATCGCGTCTCGAGCCAATGTGATAATACAATAGACTTTCATTCGCAAAATATGACCAAAGTAGACGTAAAATATAGTAAAATCGAAAATGAATCATAGTAAAGATGCCTACATTTATACTTTTATAGATCGAAGTGTACTTATAGTTAGAGAAATTTAAGAAAATATATGTATACATACAGTTTCGAAATGGACTAGAAAAAAATATAAAGCAATCTTTTTCAAGATTAAGCAGAACTATCCTATTCATCTATCGATCATTGATTCTTAAAATTGAATTCAATATGTGCAAGTGAGCAATATCTAAGTGAAGAAAGAAACGTAATAATCGTGTAAATATGTTACATGGTGAAACGCTTGTATCTCTTCGAAACGCATCGTAAGATATTTGAATATTTTTTTCCAAAAAGACTATTTCTTTCCTATCCTCACATGCAACACAAGTCGGCATTTGGTAGCTATTTAAATAACACACTGCTGGGGGATGCCCTTCGTCGAGACACGTACATTTACCATTCATGGTACGCGTCACAGCCATAAATATTAATACTCGGAATAATAAACGGGATACAGTATAATTATAAATACGTACACAGATCTATCGTAAGGGTTGAGGTTCGGTCGAACAATTGTTTTCCAATCCGATAGAAAAATCATTGCCAATTAATCGTTTAATCGTGTAATCAGATACGTTCGATGAAATCGATAATAGAGTTAAATCGGAGGAATTGTTTTTGTACACGCATGCAGTATTTGTATTTTAGATCGGCAGCTACTGTGTGCAAATGTCGAATAAACTGTAACAAATGAAAAAAAAAAAAAAATGAAGGGAAAGAGAACTGAATGAAAAAAGAAAAAAAAGAAAAATCAAAAATCGTGCTTCGTCTAAAATAATTTGGGAAATCAACACTTACCTGTGAATCAGCCCCATATCGGTGTAAAAGTAAAGAAATGATATAAGGAAAAACGGAAATTTTATTGAAACGAATTGCAACAGAAATTTAGCTTCTCGAGGGACACAAAGCGAATCGGAATATGGTACAGTGTTCGCAGACTTCTTTCATGTCGAGAAGGCAAACCGGAATGCGATTTAATTGACACTGAGAAATTGATTGCCAACGCAATTTTCACGAGGTTTCCGTTTGATCGTTCGTTATCTATTTAAACTTAAACTAATCTACGTCCATATACCTCTCTGTAAAGGTTTCTTCACTACGCGCGAGTAATTCGTGGATTTTAATAATAATACTTCTCGCGATTTTTATTAGAAAATGTCGGAAATTAAATTCGATTCTACGTATACAGTATACCAGTGTTATATTTTTTACACAGAGACAAGCGTATATTTGATTCGATACCACTGCTATAGTTATTATCCTACAACTATGTTCGCACATTAAAGAATAGGCAAATCAGTTGACATCAACTACATAGAAAACGATGAATACACGAGTTTCACGATAAAGCTCTTCGAGCGAAGTTCGATTCGACAGAGACGTAAAATATTTCTCCAAAGATCGAACGCGTTCTCAAACTCGTTCCTTGTCGAAAACAAGAATGTAAAGAGGGGAAAATTATGTCGACGCGCTTCCGGTTTGAGTTCACCGCGCTGTCCTTGTCGCGATGAATGAATTTGTTAATAAAGTCGGGTTCGTAAATCAAAATCGGCGAATTCATTCGACTCGATATGTTAATTAAATGCTCGATTAACAAAAATTATTCGCATTCATCGTGGTCCGATTGGCCTATAGGAGCGCATAAATAATGTTTTTGCAACTAATACAGCCTACCTATCCAAGTACATCGAGAGCACATGCAGTTGTATCGATCGAAACGTTTTTGCTTCTCCTTTTCGCAGCGACACCAGACAGCTCGTGTGCTTGGTTCGTTTCGTTTCGTGTCGTGTCCACGCACGGTTGTCTGGGCACAAGCACGCAGGTTTTACCTAAGTGGGTACATGGGCGTACAGGTTTCACGTCGAACGCGCATGCAAATGGGATCGCAACTCATCCAGGGGCGTAACAATGATAATCCCTTCTCGTTCTTTACCGACGATCCAACCTATTTATCGTTCCCCTGCTATATTATATCGCACACGATTTAGGTAAAATTCGATAAGAATTTTTCATTCCCGTTTTGCTTTTATGGATATACTCACGTGTTTTGCTTTCGAGATGTTTGCAATCGAATGGCTTCGAAGTCGAAATTTCGAATTGCGAGTCGATCGTTGTTGAAGTTATTTCGGTGTAGTCAAGTACACGGGATCAAGATCGATGCATTGACAAAATTACGTCCCTGCAACTGTTCGCTTGTACAGAGGATATTTACATACGTAACACATATACATGCCCCGTACGATACGAGTTTCTGCAGACGTGTGCACACGCATCATACTCTCTCCTGCTCTATACGACGACGTCGTGCTCCCTTTTAAACGCCTTCGGCTCTCGAACGACTAGTTGATTTCTCGTGAATTTTCACCTACTATCCCACTTTCCGGGTTTAACGGAATTCCTTGTGGAATTAAATAATCGTTCCTCCGCAGCGTGCCGCGCGGGAATAAGATAATAAAAGGAATAAAGCTACGCGGGATTAGCCGATTATCGTGTTAAATAAAATTGTACATAACATGATCGTCTCTTTGTCACAGTCTTATCACTCGCTAAGATTCCGTATCGAGTTCCCCGTTTATATTTAACTGAAAGAGGAAAGCAACGAGTTTAATCGAATTCAAAACGGTCACGACCATGGAAAAGGTGAACCTGCCTGAAACGGTGACTCGTCCTCGGCTGTCGAACGACTACTCGCGGCATCGACAGCACGAATACTTGTAATATTTGATCCGGCAATAACCATTCTTCACGACCACCGAGCAATCTGGATGCTTGTCAACGCATTCCGACAATGCTTCATACGCTTCTGAAATTGTGAAAAATTTATCCACTCGTTAACCACATCATTCGAAACATGCACAAAAGACGTAAACCATCAAACTTACTTTTCGGCGGTTTGATCAACGACGTAGGATCGTCCTTTTTGCACGGCTCCAAGCTGCATTGCTGTTGGTCGCTCGGTTTCTCAGCATCTTCGCAATTCGAGCTGCTGACACCTTCGAGAATACAACGAACCAGTCTGGTTTGCACGCCGGTACCGCATGTCACCGAGCACTGAAAAAAACCGCCTTGGTATTTATATCGAAATTTATATCGGTATTTATATATCGGGAAGTCAAAAAGTCACGGTGCTCGTCCGATCATAAATCTACGCATGACTCGACTCGCGATTTACCTTCGACCAGTCCGAGGTGAACCATGTCGGTGTGCACGCGGCCGCTCTGCATACTTGTTCGTTTGCTGGCCTCGAGCCGCTGCAATTGCTCGCCGGCAACACGACGAATTCGTTGTTCGTCCTTGCGACGCAAAGGACTTCTCGATACTGGACACCCACTCCACACGACACGGAACACTGAAACCATATTTGTCCACCATGTTCATTCGATATCAACCGATTTTGGTGGCGTCGTTTTTTGTCGTCGGCAATTATTCGACAAGCCACTCCGTTTTCGCTTATCTATTACCAACCAATGTCCATGGACCGGTGAACCATTTCGCGCTATCGCAATTCGTTCCTCTTCCGAAACATTCCCTTTCCGTTTCCGGCCTCTCTTTGGGATTGCAGAACAACTCGCTGACATCGGCGCAAGCTACTTGCCTCGTTTCCACTCCGCTACCACATTCGGCCGAACACTGGACAAAAGATAAGAGAACGTTTTCCATTCGATTCGATTCGATTTCGCCATCCTTCCTTTCCATTTATCGATCTTACCTTGGCCGACCATTCCGAGTAGAGCCAAGGCGCTCGTTGCTCCATACCAGTGTACGTAGTGCAAGGCGGGGATTCGCACATTTTCTGAGATTCGGGTTTGTTGAACGGCGGACAGACACTTCCCGACGTGATGCAAGTCACTGTTCGATTTCGAATTCCCATCCCACACGTCGTCGAACACTGAAATCATCGTGTCGCTTGCACAAAATGCGTTTCCCTTAATTATCGTATTGACATAGCTATTTTTTCTTTTTTTTTCGAACGAAAGGAAGCGACACGAAAGACTCTTTTCTTACGACTACTACCTGTGTTACAAAATAAGAGAAAAAGGAAAATGACGTACAGGACCCCAGGCGCCGACGTCCCATCTGGGTGTGTCGTGTTGAGAGTGCATATGCCTTAATTCCGGACTATTCGTGCAAGCCGGTTTCGCACAGGTTTCCACGGTCCTAAGGTCGGGCGGTTGTACGCACGCACCGTCTAACACTCGCATTGTTAAGTTCGCTTTTAGTTCCTGTACACACTCCAATTTTCGTGTTCTCGTGCCGGTGCCGCAGGTGACCGAGCACTCGCTCCACGGTTCGCCCCTCCACCTGAAACCACCGCCGTTTCCAAATTCCTTTCCGAATTGCGAACATGCGAACCAATTTTGCACGAATCGTCAGAGGAGAAGATGGATTTTACCTAGGTGGGCAAGGATTGTCGTTGCAACGCAACGGAGGCGGGTGTTGCGGCTTTCCCACGTTGCGACAACGTTTGTCGTTCACGATCATCTGCTTGGTCTCGCGGAAGCACTTGAAGATAGCTGTCTGAACGCCTAAAAATGTAAGTAACATTTGGTTGTAGTTAGACCAAACGGTCTTGCCTTCGTTTCACAAGTGGTTGTCCATTTTATATCACATATATCCTTTTATCATAAAGGAAACGACACAGATTTTTTTAGTTACCTAATAAAGCAATTTTCTCGATAAGATTGCAATGCGTTTAAAAGGGTTGAAGGGTTATATGACATTCGGGGTCAATTATTGGGCTGGATGTTGGGAATGGAAATTAAGAAGAAGAAGGAGGAAGTGACAGCTGTCACGACGTTATTTCACCGTGTTGTTGCCCGTATGAGCTGCCAATCAAAATGAAAAAAATCTCGAATGTCCTATTCGCGATGCAGCAGCACAATACCATGTGAATGGGCCGATATTGAAGAGGTCGATGGAAAATAACAACGTGGCCACGGATGTGGGGTTTCCTGTTAATAAATTTCGTGAATTGAACGCAACTTCCGTGATGGCGATGAGCGAATCGAGCACTGTAATCTTACGACCCTTCGAACCTTGGCGATAATACCGAAACGAACGAGTTCTCGACCGACTTCCCACGCAATGCTCGATTAGTCGAGCTGTTTCTCTGCGGTTTCTAGGACTATTAATTATCTACGCGCTTTTTTTCTAATTGCTCGTTTAATTAGCGTGTCCGAAAAATCGAGCTCGTGCGCTCGCCACAACGAATCGGAATCGCGTGGGAGAAGCATAAATTCTAAACTTTTTCTTTCTTTATTCGAAACTTACGAAATAAATAATAAATTGCGAATTAGAAATTGATCTACGCGTACCTCCTCCACATTCTTTGGAACAAGGAGTCAATCCAAACATCTTCCAAACGAACCGCGCACGTTTCTTTTTCTTGCCCTTTAACTTCGGTTGATCACCGGCCATCACCGTAGTCGGGGAATGCTTCATCTCCTCCTTTCGTCCTCTCTCACGGCCTCGCGCTCGATCTTGATTACGAATCGTCGGTAATAAATCGATTTTCTGATTGGATCTGAAAAAGCGAAAATCCTAGTGGACTACTAATCGTAACTTTCCAAACACGATTTCTTTTTTTCTTTTTTTTTCTTTTCTTTTCTCCCGTATAAATCGTTTCCGATTTGATTCAAACACGATTACGAAGCTCTGTAATAATTTGAGAATATTTACATTCCGGTTACGGGAATCGTGAGGCCAACACGCGCATCCGAATCAGGGATTTCGTTGCCACGATCGATGGATCCTGCGAAAAGAGTAAAATGTCAACTCGTTTAAAAGCCATGTAACCAAAGATATCGTCGAGGACTTGGAAAAATGCGTTCGATTAAAGATTTTTCGATGTAATGTATTACCTGTCGCAAAAAGTGGCGGTGCTATTAATGGCTTTCCATTGAACGGCATCATGTATTTGTAAAGTACTCCAGGATTCATTTCCTGTGCCAGAATCTGAAGAACCGATTTAAAAAAAATACCAATAATACCGATACACGAAGTCACGGTTAAAGTAACACAATGCCAGGTCGAGAAATGATCGTGTGTAAAAAAAAAAAGGGGGAGAGGGGAGAGGGGAGAGAGAGAGAGAGAAAAAAAAGAAGAAAATCGATCCAATAAATTGGAACGAATGAGATATCAGAGACATCTTTATGGTCGTACCTCTAAATGCAAAGAATCGTTCAGTGGCCCGGTCGCCAAGATACACTCCATGCGGTTTCTGTCACCCCTCTGGTATGTTAATGTCGTGCCAGCCGCTTTATAAGTGCCGCTTGGACTGTAAGCCAAGGGTCCGTTCAGGATGTAACTACCGTTGCCGTCTCTCAACGCTAACACATCAGATTAGTCGTTAGAAAAGCAGAGAGGAAAAAAGAGGCGAGATCAATTTGGTCGTATCCCTAAATAAACGCGGCTCGAGCATTTCGCTTTTTTCATAACAATACCTAAGAAATTGCTACTGTGTCGTAGTTCGGATATGTTGAGGGACATGGCTCCTTTCGGAATACTGGTTACAGGTTGATGACCCCGTGGCAAGATTGGTTCCATAAAAATGCCCTCGTACAGTCTACAACCTTTACCCTGACCACCGCAGACACCACAAGCGTCCATCGTGACTCCGGAACCTACCACACCGTCGCAACCCACGGGCTGCGAAAGACAAAAAAAGAAACAAGGACAAGCATTTAATGAACTGTTCTGTTCCGAACGAGCGTGCAACGCAACGTTTCGCGATAAATAGATCGACGAAATCGATGGACTGAAAACAGTTCGAAAATTGGTGTGAAACGACTCGCTGTTGAATCGCGGTGAAAGAATAGACGCGAAACAATGGTGAAACGAAAGAGAAAGAAAGAACAAGCGGAACGGACAAAAGAGACACGGTTAACTAGTCGCGTTGCGATCGAACCGGCTATAATTAAAAAAAAAAAAAAAAATGTAAAGGGAAGAAAAAATCGACCGATCGATTCGATCGATCGCATTGAAGAGGAATCGCGATCAATTTCCGACGTGACGTGGAGGAATTAATACTCGTGTTTGACTCATCGTACCTTGCATTGTCCGGCGACACAGAGCCATCGATCGGTGCGTTCCATAGAAATTCCAGCATTATATCCACGAAGATTCGGAGCGTCGCAGGGTGTGCCGTCCATTACTGCCGATTCAAGCGTTGCATAAAAAGGCTCGCCAACGGCACGGCAATTGAGCGCGCAAGAATTTGGTGCTGGACAACAGTCATCGCAGTCATCGCATAATAAAAAAAAAAAAAAAAACACCAAGGTCTTTTAGAAGTTAGTACACGCTACGGTAGGATCCTCATTTAACCGAGTATTTNAGAATTTGGTGCTGGACATCGCAACAGTCATCGCAGTCATCGCATAATAAAAAAAAAAAAAACACCAAGGTCTTTTAGAAGTTAGTACATGGTAGGATCCTCATTTAACCGAGTATTTGCATTTTATTTTTCATTCTTTCGAAAAGAATTATCAAGAATAAAGCGAAGAACCAATTAAATCGGTCGTGTTTTAACTAAATTGTCCATTAAAATGATAAGACGGAGTTTTGGAGTTTAACTTACCATCCAAAAACGGGACCCAATCGTAACTCTCGCCCTTGTAATTTCTTCCGTTGTACTTGGCACATTGTTCGGCCCGCAAATCCTCCGGGAAGTTCGGACATTTCTGTTGCGAGCAACGGTTTAATTAAACTTCACGTAATTAAAGACCGATTGTTGGGAAACCGATTGTTACAGTGTCACTTTAGATTTTCTTCAACTCGATTAAGATATATATCTTTATTTCCCAAAAGTGTGTTTCTGCGTTTCGGCGACGAAAAAATTTAATTTGGATAAAATTTTTCATGGAACTTAAACGCGGAAAAACATCCAAATTCTAAAAATTTCTTTAAATTTCTAGTGAATTCCGTGCTTTTATAATGGATTTCAGTGGATTCAAAAAGGAACCGCGCACTCGGAACGAATACACTGAAATGGGAATACCGACACGTAGAGGAGAAGCGTTACCCTGGTAATTTCCGGGTGGAAGATTAATTACCGGCCAGTAAAACCGTGAATAGTCTCGCATGTTTGTAAACCACCGTTTCCGAGATAAATCTAGCCGAGTCGTGGCGCCACGCCGAAAAAAGAGACAAATGGTTAACATGGCAAAGTTTTTAATTGCCACGTTTGCACGCAGAAAATTAACTAGCATGCGTTCATTCAGCAACAAACCATAAAAATTCGCCCTTGTCGAAAACAAGATTTCGGTGTATTAAAAATTATATTCATTATAATTTTTAATGTAAGACAAATATACACTTCGATGCCAATCGAAGTTTCTCCGATACCATTAAGATTAATCGAGGATCTTGCAGAAGAAAAGAAACGTTGATTCATTTTCGACAAATTTAAATTATTACACGTTATAGCTCGAAATCAAAATCAAAACGATAATTTTTATAATTAGTTTTTTTTTCTAAATTGTTACAAATAAACTTGTTCTCTCTTTTGTCCGAAAAAAGAAAAAATCCTCGATTATTGCGAACATTGTTTCGATCGATCGAAATGAATGGATGTGCACGCGATTCCAGTAATAGATTTCTCAATTGGCCGCATTTTTTATTTCGATTCGTTTCTACGGGAATCTTTGATTCCCACGATCGTACGCGAAAAATATCAAACGAATTTCACACGATCCGTACACGTTTCAAGCGACTAACGATTCGAAACGCTTTAAAATCAAACCGGAAGTATTCTTTTCGCGGTTGAGAACGGACACGAACGTCAATCATAGTCTTTACATCTATGAAAGTCTAATTATCGCTCAGGCGAATATCTGGACAGAGGCCAAAGTCGTCCATTACCAACCAACAGTCTTTAACTCTGCAGGTGGTGATTATTCTTATGAATTTTAAACAACATCGGTTAATACTCGCTAGCCATATAAATTGCCATCGCGCGCTTCCTTAATTGGCCTTTGCGATGATTTGTTCGTGACTCGTGACATACCGAAAAGAAAAGAAAACGCTCTAACGATCTTCTATATGCATCTATTCTCTATACCTGCCTCTCCTAGATAGATGCATTTAATGTACATATAGTACATATTCGCGCGTAAATATAATTCTTTTCCATTTTTGTACTTTTCATGAAAATGTTCAAGAGGAAGACGTAAAAGTAAAAATTTAAATAGTATAGAATAAAAATTTTATAATTTTTTTGTCAATAGTGAAAAATATTTGCTTTTGATCTTTCATATACTTAGTACATAAAATATAATTTGTATAAAATAAAAATTTTTGAATACAAAAAAGAATATTTTTCACGAATATTAGAGAAGAAAGGCAATAAATTTCTTTCAGTACAGCGATTTAGACTTATGACGATTATTTCTAGTCATTCTACCGTGTTTTTCGTAATAAATACCTTGTACATTAAAAAGATTTACCAGGCGTAGGGTCATTGAAATACAAATGTTAATCTATCACGTGTCGAGACAGAACGTAAAGGCGTAAACATTGACTCGCGTTACGTGTCGCATTGATTTACCTGCGTGTTGCACGTGTGGTATCGCTTATATGTACCGATGCAAATGGGTCGCGAGTTGCTCGTGCCATTCTCCGAGATAATGCTCCGCTTCCTTAACAGTCGCCTGAAACAAATCGATCGAGTTACTATATATCGACCTTAGATGGATCTTTATTTTTCACGGCCGATTCTCACGTTCCATTCCCTTCTTCCTCCCCTATATTCTGTGTTTCTTTACACGAAAGAAAAACAACACAAACAAATAAATTTCTCTTCATTTTTAACGAGATACTGCTAATTTCATATAAAAAAAATCTGTTGTCAGAAATACATAAGTTGCATTGTTTAAAAATAAATTATTCGACTATTAACAGGTGTTCAGATATTTTCAACCAATTTTCAAAGAGGAATATGTTCGAGAACGTTGACTCTCGACTCTAAACATTGTTGAGACTTACATAAAAGAGAAAGGCATAAAAGAGAAAAATTTAAAACGTAAGAGACGGAAGGGTTGAATTGTCTTTTACTTATTACCCTCGTCAAGCGGAGAAAAATACTCTAACGGTACACAACAGGTCTTTGGACTATTTTATCGCCGGTCGAGAAACTCGCGGGTCCACCGATAAATCCTGCATCGAGTCACGTAACCATGCAGGTAGCGCTACAAAGGTGTAAATGTCAGCGACAATAACACGTTTCGGGGTCGCTCGCGCGATTCGTCGGCGTGCCAGCGTGTAATCTTCCTCTGCTACCGATCCGCAATTTGCTCGGCTGTTCCTCGATCGTATACGGCATGTATATGCTACGAAACGTGTCAAGATTCGCCATGTCGAATTCTCGGAAGGATCCAAGGGCAGAGATCTTGCAAAAGAAAACTGTAACCATGAATTTGTCTATCAAGTTCGTACGTTTGAAAGTTAGCCTTCTTCTTCTTCTTCTTCTTCTTCTTCTTCTTCTTTTTCGTTTCTCGTAGGCGTTTCTTGCAACGGTTTCATTTCGTGAAATCGTGGAACGATTATCCATGATCTTTGATGTTAACGGTATCGCGAAACCAACGATTATTATTAATATATAATTCACAGTAAATTATACGACTCCTCGAAATAAATTATATATGATTTTATTATTATTCTTTTGTGGATTTAATTGCATTCTGTTGTAACTTTTTTATTTTATTTTATTTTATTTTATTGATATAATATGTTTTACTTACTGATAGGGAACGCATTCACGAGATTGGGATTGAATCCCCGTGCCACAGGTACGCGAACACTCGCTCCACGAACTCCACGGACCCCAGGTTCCTCTAATACGATTATCCCGTCCAAGAGCGAATTGAGTCTTTTCCTGTAGCATATGATACACCTGAAAATATTTGAAAAATTAAGAGATAGATGAAATTCGAAATCTCGTATTATTTTACGTGATACGATACTCTTGAAATCGCTCGTAAAGAACAATTCGTTTCAAGAATCATATCCCTGAATTTGTGAATACATTCACATTTGCACTCGTTTCATATCAATGATTATACGTCGTCCAAGCTTTGCCAGATTTCCATCGATTCGTTCAAATGGGATTCCCAATAACGCACGAAATCTTCGACAAAAGCTTCATTATGCATAGGAATCATTATTCATGTCTCGTGTGCGAGAAATTCGAGATATTATGTAATCACGTACTGGCCGCGATGTAATTAATTTTATTAGAAGCTTCTCCGGATCGTCGGATTAATCAATCAAAGGATGGTGAACAAAATTGCCTCGGCTGCTGATAATCAAATGGCAGGCCCTTGCGTTATAATCCAACCGCGTTAATTACGATAGGATGAAAGAGGAAGAGAGAGACGGCATAACGACATACAAACTGTTTGCTCAATAATTAATATCGGTACTTCCGCGATTGAGATCGTAATTAGACCACTCGCGAGACTATAATTAATTAAGAGACGGATCTGTGGCGCCATCGATACTGCTATGCAGATTTAAATTTCGATGGTTATAATCAAACGTATCGTGAACTATATCATTTTCTCATTCGGTGAAATTTCCGATTAGAGAGGAAATAACTCACGGAGTAAACTATACCGAATAAAAAGAAAAAATAGGAAATATTACAGGAACGTTACCTTCGTTTAGAAAAAAGAAAGAACACGGTTCTACTCGGAATCTATTTGAAAATTTGAAATTAGCGTTCCAAAGTTACAAGCTTTTCATCCCATCATTGATAAAGAACAGAAATTTTATGGTATATATATATATATGTTTCGAATTGCGTGTGAATCTATAACCTTATATCAGTGTTTCCCAGTGTTTATCACCCATATCTAAAAATATTACATTTACTTTATCATATCGAATTCGTTCTCCCAAAATTTATAATTTTGAGAAAAAAGAAAAGTGGTAGACCATTTGATCGTTATAAAAATGTTGAGAAACACTGATCCGAATCATTGGTTTATCTTTGGACGAATTCGAAATTCGAGCGGCTTTCAAAAAGTCGTTAACCCGCTAAAACGGAGTAATACTTCCTTGATGACCGACATTAACTCCGGCACGTTAATCGCGGCGCGCATGAACTTCTAGCCGTGCACTGGATCGAGCACAGAGATGGAAGGAAATGCGAAAATACTCGACGAGGGGATACAGAAGGGGCCGGTTGGCATCGCGCTGAATAATGGAGCCGCGTTTCAAGATTATTTCCACGATGAACGATCTTAATCTCATTGTCCCGCGATCCTTTCAAAGGGATTCTTACGAGCGTAACGAACGTCTTTGCGACGGTTAAGAAGCTCGTATTACCCCCAACGTTTCATCGCAAGAAGAGAATTATATAGATAGACGGGAGGATCTTTAAGAATTCATTTTTATATTTTTCTCGATTGTTATTTGGATTATATTTCTCGTTAACAACCATCTCTCGAACTTATTTCGCGGATTGAACGGAGGGGGTCTCGAGATGAGAATACCTCCCCGGTGGGTATATACCGCTGTTAGAAAGCTGCGGCGCGCTTGTTAGCGGAGACCGATTGAAATTGGCCGATCGACCAATCATTGCGATTAACTGGAACGATCGTTCGAAGTATGTAAGTTTAATCGACGATAAGCGCCGTTATCCCGCTTGCTCCGGGTTCAACAGGTTGCCACCAAATTGTCGACATTCTATATCGGTCAATTAGATCGATTAAAAATTACACGGTGGGGAACAACAGGTGAAAAAGGGATGCGTTTTCGTGTGAATTAATTAGTGATAAATATCCACGTGGTGGATAGGATTGAGTTGTAACTCGAAAGAGGAATCATAAGTAGTATGGTTGCGATGCTCGTTAAAAGAAAACGATCACCAAGTTTTGTAAAGAAAGAGCTATTAAACGGCATTATATGGGAGAGCGTTAACCGAGAATGTTCGGTGTTTCTTTACGACGAATCGTAATCGCACGAAGCCGAGAGCGATATTACAGTATTTTCCAAAACAAACGATCCATTTAAACGCTGCATAAAAAACGCGGTATAACAAGAAGCATGAACGGTATTGCAAGAACGGCGCGCATTAGAGTGTTTGCGTTTCGTATTCATTCGTTTGCTCGGCCTTCAGAATGCAGCAAGAGCTCCGATGTAATTTAGGAAGATCCTCCAGTGTCAATTAATTATCTTCGTCGTGCCACCCAGAATAACGTCTACGTAATTGCTTATTAATTCCTGTAAGTGGATTAAATTAATATTCATCGGTCGACCGTACATTCGAGATAAAATACGTTAATGGACGAGATAGCTACGATAACGTTATTACGTTCATAAGTTAACGGCAAGAAGTTATGTGCGTATTAAATTATACCGAAAATCAAACTAGGTATACGTTTAATAAACATATTCCATCGAAACATTCTTCTCTCGTATCGACTTCGTAAAACGAAAATCTTCCATATATATATATATTTTTTATCAGTTATTACGACGAAATAACTTTATGGAGTTAGAATGCAGGAAGGATCGAATAATCGATACAATCTTAATCAACCATGATGGAAACTTACTTCGATGGGATACTTGTCGGGCACGTGGGTAGAGGAGACGGTGGCCGCAGTCAGCATTGTCAAAGCTAGAATCGATCTGAAACAGAGATTGCAAAGATGCCTTAATTAATCCGACGTAATGGAATGTAATTTGTTATCGTCGTTGTCGATCTACGAAGCGGTTTTCACGAGCGTCCGTCGACTGTTGAACCGAGCCAATTATCCCCCTTATCGCACAAAATATCTATCTTTCAGCTGGTTTCATCGGGTTAGACATTTCAAGAATGTGATAATCTTCCTCGGATGAGTAACGTTGCATACTACGACCATGTAAAATGCTCCTGACCTAGGGGACCGGATAACTTCTCCTGCTTCCACATCGAAGTGCCTAGTTAATGTATTCTTCCCCTCTACCCCCCTCCCTCCCCCTAAATTATTTACCGGTGAAAAAATTCTCTGACAAGGATTAATGCGATCAATACGGATAGATCGTGTTTAGATTGAATAACGTATGGCCGAACCACCCCGCGTCTTCCTTCCGAATCGAACCTCGAAACGATTAATTGAATACATCCCATGATTTATCCCCCATCGCGATTCCGAATTAATAACGCACGACACGATAATTTAATTTTGCGCAGATGCTCCACAAGTATATTTAGAAACGCGATCAAGGATCGTGAGATTACCAGGAATCTCATCGTATTGAAATGCGAACAAAATTAAATCGCTTTAAAAAAAAAAAAAGAAAAAAAAAATAGCGATGAGATCCACTCTCTCCTTCTTTCGAAGTATCTTACGGCATTTTTAAAACGATTTCACGGGAAAGGAATAACCGAGCATGTGTTCTCGATCATCCAGTTCGGATAATCGCCGCCATAGATTTCAAAAGTTCTCCATTTTCACGCCGCGAATAGCGTTCCAACGCGTCTAAGATGGAAGAACGTACAACAGCAGTATCGCGGCAACAGGCGCCAATTCGTTTTGCCATGCCATAATTATTAAAACTGCGGCGGGGATGTATCGCCGATCGGGTAGTCGGAGAGATGCGAGGAAGAGGAAGAGATGCGAGGAAGAGGGAGAGAAAGAAAGAGAGTAGGAGTAAGGGAGGTGCAATGACGTTGGAACAAGTAAACTGTGCCACTAAGCGCTAATAACGTTTCACTTGTTGCGTTTTCTTGGAAAGCTTAATTAATCATTACGCCCTTATGCGGCGGAAAGAGAAAGAGAAAGAGAAGAGAAAGAGGAGAGAGGGGGTAGGAGAGGCGGACCGCCCGCAGCCACTGAAGTAGTCGCTTACTCGCGTGCGTGAAACGCACACAGCAAACACGTGTAAACGCGTATTATTGCGACGAAATCAGAAAAAGCCGCATCTCCTCTTGCCTTTCCACGCGATCTTCTCGCGAATCGCGAATAAAGCTGCGTACATACCACCACTCCGTGTAAAGTGGAATAAAATTAATAGCGCTCTGACACACGAGGCGAGGTTGGGTTTAAGTACTATTTTAAAGATACGGTAAGAGAAGTAGTTGGCGTGTCAGGTGCTTCATCGATCATCTATGTTGAACATCTATTGCTCGTCTCGAGCATGTTGCTCGAAGCGAAAAATCTCGAAAAAAATTTTCTTCTACATCTAAAGAAGAGAATGTTGCAACTACTTTCGAATTATTTTCTTTCGAGATTTCCTGAACAATATTTCCAGTATCGTCACAACTTCTCGTAAATCATTTTTATTTCCTTCAATTAATTATTCTTTATTTCAATTTCGAGAATTTCGAATCGCTCGAGACTCGAGAATTATTAGATACTTTCGAGATCCCAATTTATACCCAAATTTAACATTTAAGTAATAATGTTGAGAAAAATAAGGTAAAGGAAATCGAAGGAGCAGGAAGGAAGACTACAATCGCAGACGATGAGCGAGGAATAACGTAGAAAAAGAGGATTGCGAGAATACGAGAACGTGATTTGCACTAATGAAACGGTTATCCCATTGATTTACAATTACTACTCGCGCAGCTTTATTGTCCCTCCATTACGACAATCAATTACCTCATAAACAAACATCTATCGTGCTCCCTTCGTTAGACACGATTACCGTGAATTACAACGAAGCAGTTTGTTATTCAACGACGACGCACAGCTAGCCCGCGTGTCTCGGTATGCACAGCGCTTAAGAAAGGGACGTTCACGGTGCACGCAAGCGGCGCGATGAAGCATTGCACTTGGCTGCAACTGCTCTAGCTACCCGCTCGAGAGCAATCGTGTCCAACCGCGACGACGAACACGTGTTCCTCGCTTCTTCTTTGTAACGCTAAACGGATCGCGAGATTTGCCGTAAAATCGTTCGTTCGTTCGTTCGTTCCGATTCCAGCTACCCCTCTTGCCTCTTTCTTTCCTTTGTCCTAACGAATAATTATAATAATCGTTTTCCAATGTTTTTGAAATTACTTCGAGAGACGAGAATATCTCCGATCGTCGTCGCTTCCCTTTGCACCTCGAAAAATAATCGACGAAAACGGGATACTTGTTGGAAGAGTTGTTGTTCAAACTTGCAGTTATCTACATCTTCACGCTTCAGGAAGGAACGAAGATCGTACAGAGACGAATAGCGAGGGCAATTTGTTCTGTTATCCCGACGACAAAAGGTTTGGCTATATCTGTCGTTGTTCGTGGAAATCGTTGAGAAATCTTTGACTCGACAAGGACTGGTGGCTGCTGCTCATCTATTATCGCGCTCGTCTTTGAACCGAGGATTCTAATACTCGTCACTAGCACGCCAAGATACGCGAGTTTCTTATTGATCGGTTTTTAGCGTAATTCTTACGCCATTGAAAACAAGACCGACATTGTTTATCGCGGCATATGATGCACCAACCGCCACGATAGCAAAGTCGTAACGCTTCGAAGATGCGACCCTCGGCTGCAAGATCTCCCGGCTATAAAGTTTGATACGTTTGTGCAAAAAAGGGAAACAAGAGTCTCGATTGCGTGCGAGCGTGCGAAACGCACGGTCTGGTTTCCCTGGTCTCGATGGATACGCTTTTGTCGAGAGATCTCGCGGGAACGTGATAACTTACTCGATATTTCCCGGGGTTTCACGAGTCCGCACCACTTGTCGGGCAAAATTAATTCTAGCCGGTGCAACGATCCGATAATGATTCCCGCGAGACAACGATTGCGCCCGATTAGCTCTCCTCCCGGAGATATTTCATCGAGTTAGGGTCAGTGAACATGCGCGGAACGATGGGATAACGAATACCAGATTCGACAAGTACGTGCAACGATCAACGATGGATAGAAAAAAAACACAAAGTCGGTATAAATTTCCAACAATACTCTTTCATTTAAAAAAAAAAAAAGAAAACGAGAGATCGATGAATCTCTGAAACTCTGTCTAGCGATTCTGTGAGGATGATCGAACGGCACATTGGCCCGGAGAAACGAATAAAAATGTTGGCAATAACGATTAATCGCAATAACAATTAAATCCCTGGCTCGATCGGCGAGTAACTTTCCAATTCTCGGCGGAATTCATCCGATAAATCGCGGCGTTTCTGCGGGCAAAAAAAGGGGATAAGAATAACTGGCCGGCCGGCGTCGCGGGAGGCCGGCGAAATCATTTTAACCACGGTGGTCCGATGCAAGGGGATTTTCGTCTCGTGCAGGGGGAGGGGGGGGGGCAGAGCCGATACGTACGCGCCGGACACAAAAAGGAATGGCCGTGAAATATGATGCACGATACACGTACGCGGCATTGTCTCGGTAAGCTGTTGAGCATCTCCGGCGTTAACCAAGGGAAAGGAGCAAGAAGTCGCCCTCGGACAATGGGGGCGTGAATTTCGAATACCTCCTCTAATGATACCGGAGCACCTCCGATCGAAGCGTATAAATGCCAACGTTCCTGTTTACGCGTATATTATCACGTATATTTTAACCTCTCTTTCTTTTCGTCTTTTCTTGTTTCCCGCTTTCTCCCCTTCTTTCGTCCCGTTTTTTATTGGAAAGGATACAATGGTTCACGGAAGGATCAGGGAATTTGCCTCGCAAAGAGAGTATAAAGGTTTTCGCAATGCAATCGGTATTCTCTCTCTGTTGAAACTGGTTGAAACTTCCGGATAGACGAAGCGTCTGTTGTTCAAACATTTCTTCTCTCATCGTTTCAACCAAGGATCGTGGCGTCGTAGAATGCTGACAAAACAAATTATATTGCAAAAACGTTGAAGTTAATATTGTACAAGGCTTCTTTCTTATTTCGATAATGGAAGATTTAGCTCAAATTAGAAAATTATTTATTGCAGGTGAAAATAATTCATAGCGAAGTGTAGAAAATTTCATTATACAGTTACTGGTGAAACATTATCGTTGACGCGTTTTGCTTTGTCAGTCGTGAACAGAGAAGTATTTTGCGATGTTGTTGCACTATAAACTGTCACCGTCTAACCAAGCTGCTGTCGTGCTGCGGTTGCTGTTGTTGTCGCCATAAACATTTTCCCTCGTCTCTTCCATTTCTTCCTCTGCACTCCTCTCAGGATCTCTTCCTTGTGGCGCGCTTCCACCTTTCTACACATCCTCCCTCTTGTCGTCTAACCCCGCTCTCGCATTTTTTCCTCTTCTTCTTCGCCTTTCCTCGCGAGTTCTTCACCATCCAACCTCGTCCGTTGTAAGACCGTTCGTCTATCTCTCGCCTCGTTACTTACTCGAGAACAGCACCACGGGCGCCTTCCGCATACTGAATACACGCGAGTGGGTGGTTGGCAAAATCCACGAAACTCTACTTTGAGGAAATTTAATGCGAATGAGGCGAAGTGAGCACGCGAGTGAATCACGACAAATATATATCGTCGACGATATTGGATAAAAAAAATTTATATTACAGAATTTTCATAACAATTCGCCTATGTATAATTATGTATAATTATAGATATTATAATTTTCTCGCGTGGATCGTGAGAATTAAGCTAGATAGGAATTTTATATGAATGATAAAATCGTTTTCCTTGAAATTCCTCATTTTTTTGTTCCGATCGAACATTCGAACTGATGAAGAAATTAATAAAAAATAGACGAAGATCGTTTCCATTTGACGTAAAAACG